TGTTTTAATGAAAGATGGTGCAGGGATGCATTGTGTAAGAATCTTGAAAGTCTGCCAGTTTCTGCATTTAGACTCACTTTAATATTTTAAGACTAAAACTTTTGGTGTTGTGGATCTTTGAAGCTAGACTTCATAAGACTAGTCACCAGTAGATTAGTGGATGGGAAAGACTGAAGCCTTTTGGCTTTGTTCTTGGAGCTGTATTTGCAGAGCTGGGCAGTACCAGGTGCTTCCTGAGGTTGCCTTCAGAGCAAGGTGAGTGGGCAGGGGGCATGAAGGAGTCTGAGCTCAGGGGGAGCCAAGCACAGAGTAAAAGTAAGTTTGCTTACAAAACTGGGAGGCTTAAATCCTCCATGGCTGATGGACAGAGCTGTAGAAGTTATGAGACATGGAGGTGGAGAGCACAGAGAAGGTGGATGTTAGGGCTGATTCAGGCTGAGGAAGCTCTTACCTCCCAGGGTAGGGAGGTAACAGGATGTAAATCCCTAAGGATCCCAGTAGCTTTCCATACGCTGCTATGGTTGTGGTTGTAAGTGCTTGAACATATGGTTTGCTACCTGAGGATTTTTTCAGGCTTGTTACTAGGTTAACTGGGCAACAGGCTAATGCATGTGTTCAGCTAAACTGTTTGGTGTCTTCATCCTTCTCGTGTTCTCAACTGTGCTGACTGTGTATACTCTAGTGAGTAATGGGTTAGAGTAAACAGCAGGATCTTACTCCACAGTAGACTTTTTTTTTTCTTTGCTGCACTTTGGGTTACAAGTTACTACATGTATTAGTATTTACAAATCTAACAGTAACTTGAAATGTGGCCCCAGAGCTGCTGTATGCAGATATATTTTGAAATGTAAAAAAATGCCCAATTATATCTAGTAGAGTATTTGTTTTCTTCTGTGCTTTGACTGCTTTTGCTTGTGCGTGGCATCCTGACTAGAAGTTTCTCAGGAATCCTTTAGATTTTTATTCAGGAAGCAATCGCTTCCCTGAAATAGGGTTTTACTGAAAGTACAGGACGTGTTTAGTTGACTTTGCTGTGTAAGAGCAGGGCTGTTTGGTCTTACTCACTGCCTCTTGTAAATAGGTCCTGCAAAAGCAGTGATCTCAATTGCAAAACCCTTCTCCTCAGTCTTACTCTCAGGCCATTTTCTAGGTCTTGGAAATACTGCCAGACAGTGTGCTGAGAAACATTTGAACTTCATAGGCTGGTGGTATATGGGCCAAGGTAGCAGCAGAGTGTTTGAGGCGTGGTCCAGATAGATTGGATCCCTTACAAAGTAAATACCCAGAGCTGTTGTAGTTTTTTGGCAATCAGTAGAAGGATAAGGTACATTGGTACATTTTAGGTTGTTCATGTTCTTCAGATGAGATGTATGGCTCTTTATTTAACATTTTAAAGACCATTTCGTATTCTGTTCTTTACTGTTTGTTTTTTTTTGTTTGTTTGTTTTGTTTTTGTTTTCTACATTTCAAGTTTTAAGTGTCGTGACTGACATCAGTTGGTTGATTTTTTTCAACAGGGTAGAGGCACATTTAATTATATCTGAGTGCCACTGAATTATGCCCCTAAAACACTTTGTTTGTTTTTTCTTTTTAAAGATACCATTAAAATTACACCATTAACAACAGTTTATAATATGTGTGGAATTAAGATAAGAATGTAATAATTCTTGGTACTAGGAAGTTTAGCAGTTGTTTGTTTGTTTGTTTGTTTTAACTGTAAGTCTCAAATGCCCTGAATGATAATACAGTGTATCTACAGTATTCTGCATTAGCAATATATTGGAATTTGTTCTCTTTTAAAAGTTTTAAGTAGCTACTTAAACACATTTTAAAATATTGGAATTTGTATGTTATCAATCAGTAAAGTCAGTGTCTTAGATGTTTCTTTATTTAGGCAGGACAGTGAAAATAAATGTTGGCTTTAACCAATTTGAAACTTGAGGAGTGAAAACGTCTTGTACGTACTCTGAGACTTGAAAACCTTCTTTAGGTTCTGTCTGGTTTTCTCTGTAGGCATGGGAAGGCAGATGAAGGAGGAAACAGTTGTTTGAGAGACGTGAGCTTTCAATTCCTCATGTGCAGCCAAGAGGGGAAATGGCAAAACCAAAGACTGTAAAGAATTGAGATTAAACCTAGACTGAGTGAGATGGCGGACTGGCACCTGGTTTGCTTGTGCATGCTGTGGTCCTGGCTGGAGCCATCTATTAGCCAAATATTTTGGCAAATATGGGTAGAAGCTATGATAATCTGTTCATGCCCATGGAAGGGGTGTTGGAATTAGATGATCTTTCAGGCCCCTTCCAACCCAAACCATTTTGTGTTCCTAGTGCTTTCTCTCTGGCCAGGAGGTAGAGTCCCTGTATTCCTTGGCAGCTTTGCTCTGGGAGAAAGCTGTAGGGTTCAGGGAGTAGTGATGAGAGCTTAGAGCTTCCAGGTGTCCTCCTGTATGTGGCACAGGCATTAGATAAAGCGGACAAGATAATTATATCCAAAAACTTTGCACAAACTGTTTTTTTTAGGCCTAGCATAGTTACTGTAATAATCCAGAATGCAGGCTTTTCAACTAGGAAGCATATATTTAGTGTATGAATGATTATTTTTGCTTTTATCTCTGGAGCAGAGAAGGATAGAGTAATGGGCTGTAGGAATTATCTCAGTGGCTGCAATGCTAACGTGTTCAGAAAGGAGTGAAAACATTGCTCCAGAAACAGCGCACTTTTTTTTTTTTTTTAACCGTAACAAGAATAAATTAGGATTCCTTTTGTATGCTGCTACATACTAAAACACTACTTGTAATTATAAAATGGTTAGTAAATGCAAGTTTCCCAGTGCATACTGGTAAGCATATTGATTGAACATATAGCAAATGGCAAAGTTTTAAGGCAGTGAAATTTGCTTGGTTATAGTACCATGTACTGTATACATGTAAAATCTGTTAATATAGGGGAATTCTTTTCTAAGAGAATGATGTACCTCAAGGTCCTTTCTTAACCTGTACTCGGTTTGTTTGACCCTTTGATCCTGTGAAGTTTACCAAGTTGGAATTAAACTGCATACCTGGCTTTAACTACTCTAAATATTGACATTTAGGTGGTAAGTTGTCAGCGTTCATCTGAAAACTCCAAATGGAAAGGAACAGCCCTTTCTGCATTCATTTTAGAGGAATTATCCAAAGTGAAGTATTAAACTTTCATTATCTTGATGCTGATACCAAATAGCAGAGCTCTACTAAGCTGTTCCAGCTAATCCTACATTTTTTCAATGTTGCTGCATCTTAATACAGTTTCAGTGGATGAACTCAATGTTTTGGGGTTTTTTTGGTTTGTTTTGTTTTCTCAGCTGACAAAGAACAGATGTAAGATCATATGAAGGACTGTCTTTATTCCTTGTTTTGTGATTTTCAGAAATTTGCCTGGCTGATTTCATACCTTCCACAACGGATTTTCTCTCTTCGTTTTTTGTCATTATATATTTATTGGGCATCTTTTTTCCAAAGTTTTGGGAATGTGTGAGTACATTTGTGAAGAAAGTGCTGAGAAAGCGTCGGAGTCTGAAGAAGCAGTAATAAAAGGGATAGGGAAGTAAGAGGTGAGGATGGCGTTGTATGTTGCTAAGAAGTCAGGCCTTTTAGCTCCTTGCAGTAAACCAGCATCATTCATATAGACCTAGTCTTCACACTCTGGAATCCCAGCTTGCATCCAGGTTTTCTTGTCCCTAGCAGCAGTTCCTGTCCAAATAAGCCTTCCCTATTGACTGGAGAAGGAAGCCTTTAGTGATACTTGCTATAACTGATGCAAACTGCTTTGGTATTTCTTAAGTTTTTGTGACTGGGACTCAACTTTAACAGTATTTAGGAAAAATAACCTACATATCTGAAATGAATGTAGATTAGCCAGTTGAACGAGGAATTTGGCGAGCTTTGAAATTCTGCAAGCATTAGCCTTGTAGGACCTTTGTGATTATCTGTGAAGGCCATATATGTGCTATCCGCATTTTCAAAGCTTGTTTAAAATGTAACAATTGTGTAGTATAATGATGTGTGGAAGCAAAGAATCTGTCACTGTCTGGGGCTGATAAATAATTGTAATGGGATGATAATGGGAAAGTGTTGCATAAGTTAGTAACAAAGAAGACAGCATGCTATTGTTCTTGAAGAATCTTCATGAAGAAACTTCTTAGAGTCAACCAAGAATTTGTACTACTGAACATCTGTTACAACTCAACTCACAGCGCATGTGAAAAGAAAACTAAACGAGTACAGCTAACATCGAAGAAGCAGGAAGAGATACAGTAAAAGCAATTGTGCAATTTTAATATTTTCTTCTATGGACATATACATTAAGATGTTGTTTATTTTAATTCAAGGGATTTTTTGTGTGAAATATACATCCATTTTTCCTACTCTTGTTCTCTCTTCCCCTGATTATTATTTTTTTTCATTGAAGTTTGTATGAGAGGTCTCTGACAAGGCCAGTTTTCCTTTTCTGTCCTTGATTAGCTGTATGTGTTTCCACATCAGTGACAGATGCTCCTGGCAGTTGAGACCAAGAATGTGTTCATGATTTTAATGTCTGGAAGATGTCTTGATAGTTTGTCACTCTTGTTGCATGAGTCATATAACAATTTAGGTTGGAAGGGACCTCTGGAGGGCATCTGGTCCAAACCCTGCTCATTTGCAGCATGTTTGTGAAAAGGCATGGCAGCACTCATAGAGCTCTGTGGATGACACAGACTAATTTTTGATTTTCTGCTCACTGCCATCTCAGATTTTTGCTACCAATCGCTCAATTTTGTTTTGTTTTGTTTTGTTTTTTCCCTTCTAGGTTCCTGTTTTAGGAACATACCTAAAACAGGTTTGTGTAACAGACATTAAAAACGGCGTAAGTTTGCATATGGGCCATTTTTGAGAAGCATCTTCTGCATATTATAAGGAATTTTTCCTTTTGTCAGATTACATACAGTTATAAGATCTTAGTTCTTAAAATTTTATTTCTTTACAGGCCAGAAACAAAATTTGGATGAAGCAATCGAACTAAGTTGCCGTCATGAGCAGAAGCAAGCGCGACAACAATTTCTACAGTGTTGAAATTGGAGATTCTACGTTCACTGTGTTGAAACGGTATCAAAACTTGAAACCAATAGGATCAGGAGCACAGGGGATAGTATGGTAAGGTTTCTTTAAGGTGTAAATATACTTTTAGTTTACCTTAATAGAATTTTCAATGTCTTAACAGTTGTATGTTACACGAAAAACAGCATTAGTAAGCATTAGCTGTTTTTCCTCAACAATGGCTTTTGCTCTTGCTTTTTGACCTATGTCCCTTTTTGCTCCAGAACTGATGCTTTTCTGTGCAAATCAGTCAGCTGTGCTGAGTCCCATAAATTAATGGGGTAAAACCTGGATAAAGAAACTAATCCTAATCCTAAACCACACTGTTTACTTACAGTGAAATAAAAGCCAGAAATACTCCCTATATAATATTTGATGCTTCTAAATGCTTTAACTTCTCAAAATGGTTTGTTAGGGGCCTGTTTCACTTAGTTTTATAATCTGTCTCGTCTCTGGTACTAATTAACAAGCATTTGAGATGCAGACTTCCAGGGTAATATGTAAATACCCAGTGAAGTTCAGGAAAATATGACTTGACAATGTAAGTTGTTGAATGAAAGCTCTGGACTGAAGAGTGTCTGACTGACTGAATATTGGTGACAACTAGCTGCTTTAGGCACCATTTCCTGTGCAGCAAAATTACCCCAAAGGTAAATGTTGGTTTAAGACTCTTGAGACTTTTTTTGAACAATCAAGGATAAGGTATAGATAGTATAGCAATTTGCAGACTTGCCAATTTATTGTGACTTTAAGATAGTAACTAGTGATATAAAAATACAGAAAAAATGTCAAGGAAGAGAAGGATAGGAAAAAGCATAATCCTCTCAAACAATTTTCCCTTTAACCTTTTTACTGCTTTGATCTTGTCATCAGTGTTTAGAGAATGTGTGGTTCATTTGTGTTTTTAATTCATATATGTGTTTTAGCTGGTGTAATAATAAAACAGTGTTTTCTTAGTGCAAATGCAAACTTGAAGGCCACTAACCTAGAAAGAGCTGTTTTTGAAGTGATGAATTCTCACAGTAAGATTCTTTGGTCTATAAGTAGCAGCAACAGAAATAATAATCTGAATTTTGTACATGTGTGTGTTAATATAATGAGGCAGATTTTTGGCTGGAGTCTGTTTAGTTGCTACAGAAAAGACTGCAAAATCTTTGGATGTTACCACTTCTCTTCTGATTCCCAGTCATGTTACCTCCTGTTTTCCAAATTTACTGCCCTTCCCAGAGCTGAGATTCAAAAACTGACCATGTAATTACTCTAACATCATTCTGTAATTACTGCTAGTGGTAAATGAAGCTGTTTTAGTTAAACCACTCTGATTACCCTGAAACAGACTGGAGCACTCATGTGGTTAAATCTTGCCCATGTGTCGAGGAGATGGGATGTAATTCTTGTGATTTGTTTTTGTTTTAACTGATGAAACTTGGTTTGGAGGAATATGAAGGAGATGGCCTAAAGGCTCAACCATATCTAACAGTGAAACAGACTCTAAGGCTGCTACAGATATAAATTGAGGATGCAAAAAAAAAAAAAAAGTGAAGTTTGGCATTCTTTCCTGATCACCTCTTTGCTTCTCTTTCAGAAGATAATCCTTTTCTTGGGGGTAGATGGGGGAAATTCCAGGTAGTGGAAAATGTAAATCAAAAAAAGTTATCAGTATGTGTTTTTCCCATTTCTTCTCTTTTCCCCCTATCAATTAGAGGTTTTTATGATTTAAAAAAAAAAAAAATCATTCAAGCCTACACACTATACAGACAATATATTTTTAGTTGTATTCAGTAAATGCTGACCATTTACTGGCGGATGTTCTCCATTAGGTTTGTACGCTGTTCTTGATAAGAGACAATAAAATGGTATTTTCCCTGCTGAAGCTTTTTAGTAGCTGACAAATATTTCCTGAGTCTGCACAGTAGTCAGCTGCTGTATTACATCTTACAGGAAACAAAATCCCTGCCTTCCTGTCGTGGAAATGTGATATATATGGGAGTTGTCCCCGGTAACAATCTTCATCAGTTAAACAGCCTGTGTAACCGAATCATATGGCAGTCTTGGCATCTGTCTGCAAACAAAATTTTATTCTTCCTTTTTATCAAGTGCAAGCTGGTGACATCAAGATATTAAGGTCTTCCTAGCATTTTCTTTTTGTTTGCTTTATCTTGACAACGATACTCTCATTGTCATAAGGATATTAAACAGCTGCACACTGCATAATAAATGACAGCATGGGACCCAAGTATAACCTACTTTTTCTCTCTCCTTCTTCCTACCTTTCAGCATGGAGATTATATAAAAGTGATATGTTTTTTTTTTTGCATTTGAAATGTTTTCAATCATATTTAGGCAGTCTGTTTTCCAGTGCCAGTGAATGACAAGAACTCAATACCTTTAGTCAGATATTCTAGGAAGCAGAAATCCTACTTTTTTTTTTTTTTTTTTTTTTTTTGGTGGAGATTGTCTTGTGTTAGGACTATGAAGCTGGGAAAAGCTTTCTAAGTCTTGAATTTCTCAGCATACAAGAGCACCTTCTTGTTGCACGCCCTGAATCTGAATAATATTGGAAGTTTGGTATATCTGCAGACATGGTAAATGGTATCTGGAAAAGTGAGAACTGCCACAGCTTAAAGGACCTTGACACTGAGATGTAATAATGTTATTTTTAATTACAGTGCAGCTTATGATGCCATCCTTGAAAGAAATGTTGCAATCAAGAAGCTAAGCCGACCATTTCAGAACCAAACCCATGCTAAAAGAGCCTACAGAGAGCTTGTTCTTATGAAGTGCGTTAATCACAAAAATGTAAGTGGAGTGTCCTGCTTTAAATGTTAAAGAATTACCTAGAAGGTTATTCTTTGTAAAGATGACTCAGAGGATGTCATTGTTTGTAGATTATAGTGGTTTTCAGAACAGGGTTGTTTCTTCATGAAAAGTACAAAAGCATCTTTCAGAAAAGTTGGTGCAGGCTGGTGTTAATACCTGCACAATTTTAAATTCTTCAAACTCAAGAAAGGAGGCAGTGTTACATTGCTACTTTTTAAAGACAGCTGTTTCTGCTGCTAAACAAGTAGGAGGAAAAATCCAGCAATATATTTCGTTTTTACTTTTTTGTGGTGCATGAACAGGTTAGGAATCCTAGTTGTGACAGCAGGAACTTTCTGGTGTTTGTGAAGCTGTAGAATAGAGCAGATTACAAACATGGGGAGAGAATAAGCTGCAAAATTATCAAAGCTGGACTACAGAAGGATGGTATTGGCCATTTTCTTCCTTCAGAGGTAGTTGTGTGCCATCTTCCTCACCTTCCCTCTTAATCCCCCTTCAGCAAGTCAAAATTCCCCCTGGCTTTTAGGCAAGGAGAGAGTCATGGAGGACTTACTCTTTTAGCTACTTGAGAAAATTTTGTATTTGTTTTAAGACGTGTGGTTTGTAAGTGGATTCTCTGAAGGAAGTTCTACCCAGTAGCATGATTTATATGATCATTAGCTATTGTAAGCCTGTATGACTCTTGATGAATATTATCTTGGCCTGTTACTGCATATCCCATCCGTTCTTAGCAACTGGAAAAATGTCATAAAAGAGCTCCAATGATCTGGTTTTGTCTCAGGATTAATTTGTTGCTTCACCTCTGCATTTGGCAAAGTGATATCTCTTTGGTAGTATTTGTCAGTATTTCATTTTATTTTTCCTCCTACATAATAATAGTCTTAATGAGTTCTCTTCAAACTTAAAGTAGGGAGCATAAGAAGACTGACTAACGTGAGGTTTTAAGCTTTGGAGATCATCTTGTTAATGCATACAATATATCTTTAGATTATGTGAATTGTGGAGGAAAAATACTTCTGATAAAATCATTAGCATCTATTACAGTGTGTTAGTCCTGGTTGAGCCACTGAGCATCTGGAGCTTCAATGAATAAATACCAGAAGGATTGCAACAGGATGCTGGGTATCAGTTTTGAAATGTTGATTTGCAACTTTGCTGTTGCTGTGGTGTGATTATACTTCATCTCCCTCTTCCTACAGATAATCGGCCTACTGAATGTGTTCACACCGCAAAAATCCCTGGAAGAATTTCAAGACGTGTAAGTCTGATTTGATCTAAAGCTGTGAATTAACTTTACAAATATTAACATCGGAAAATAAACGGTGAAAGAATAAAATAAAATGAGAGCATTATTTGATTGTTCTTTTTTTTTCTTTATAAGCTACATAGTAATGGAGCTCATGGATGCAAATCTCTGCCAAGTGATTCAGATGGAGCTGGACCATGAACGAATGTCCTATCTTCTTTATCAAATGCTGTGTGGTATCAAACATCTTCACTCAGCTGGAATTATACACAGGGTAAGTGAACTTCCTGTGTTTCTTTTATACACCTCATTTTGCCTTGTGTATTTAAAGGAGCTAGAAAAAAAAAATCAGAAATGGGTGCACAGATGTCACCATAGTTTGCCATAGACACAGAGAGAAAGCTGAAAGGAAATTAAGCTTACTTTGTTTCACTGCAATTCTGGAATGAACCTTTTGAATGTTTTTCCTGGATTTGATAACAATCTCTACAAATAAAGATTTTATCAGTGAGTTACATTACCTCCTCAAATTCTGTATCATGTTCTGTCTATATTATGGCAGGAAAGAGTATCTGAAAGCAATTTTGCCTTTACTCTTTTGGTAACCAAACCTGAAATTCCATCTTTTGAAAGAACTGCCCAATTTATTTCAGCTCTTTTACTAGCAGAGTAACAAATGAGTATCTGAATTCTCCAAACGAACAGATGGTGATAAAGACTTGTGAGTGGAACTTACGTACACCTGTGTGTCACAAAGCATTCGTTCAGGTTGCCTACAGGCAAAAATGACAACTACTTTTCTAATGATTTGAAATGGTCAGGACAAATGTCAAACGGTCAGGACATTCTGAATTTAAGGTTGTCTATTCAAGTTAAATGTCTTATATACATTTGTGTGTAGTGAAAAGATTCCTTGAGATTGTCTAGCTATAACTTTTCAAATATAGTTTATATTATTCTGGGAATCTGTAAGCTTGTATTTTTACAGTGTTATGTTCTTCATTGTAATGTTTTTATAAGGAGAATTATTAAAAGCTTTCATCCCTGAAATGATGCAGAAGAAATAATTAAAGTTATTCATGCATGATACTTTCAGTCAGTACTATGCAGTCTCCCTTAAGGATGATGTACGCAGCAAAGTAAATCCTGAACAGCAATTCTGAATGCTGCAACAGGCATTATTACTATGCAGTGGTGCTTGCACAGTTCAGTAGTCCATCTCATCCTTGAATGGCATGCAAGCTTGATCTGGCAGAATGACACTCCTTTTCAGTCTGGTGTTTTTCACTTGAGAACTGAGACTGTTTGAATAACAAATGAAATTTGAATGGCCGAACACTGTTTCCTTTTGCTCAGCTAGTTCCAGTACTCATCTACTGCCTCATTCTAGTAAACAGCTCAGGGTGGGAAGGTGAAGGCTTCCTTCATGCATACAATCTGCCCTGGGACAGCTGTGTTTGAAAGAGCTGGGGGGAAGAAAGGTAGGCAGAGGCATCACCCATGTGTTGAACCCTGCACTTCCTGGTCTGCACGTGCATATAGACATGCTAGGGTGGGAACTGTAAGTGTCTCTTCCTAAGGATTGTAGTGCTGGCAGGAGGAAGTTTCTAACACTTAACTTGCTGTAAGCATTTTGTGCTCCTATAAAGTAGGAATCAAAACCCTGAGCCTGTGGATACCAGGAATAAATGGAAATGTCTGTATATTTAGGGAAAAGAAGTAGTTGTTAGGTAGAAATAAAGACAGTTTTGAGGATACAATTTTTGCTGCTGTAAATATAGGTGAAATATTTGGAGTGCTTCATGTTGTGCAGTAGTACAAAGTTTAAAGATAATGTTCCAGTGAGATTGTCTATAGATACAATTGCTATGTAAATAGTATGCATGAATGCTTTTGAAGGACATGGGCAGAAACATTTCACTTTGCATGTCTTCATGGAAGATTTTCATCTGACAGCTTGTTCTCGGACTTTGTTAGAAGATTCAGTGTGTTCAAGCAAAAATGTTTGAACTATTTACCTGCTGTGTATGTCACACCTTTATACTTAGAGGTGCAATGCATCAAAATTCTTTCTGTGCAACAAGTTAAACTAAACCTTGGAAGGCAAGAAGGATATGCTTGAAAAGAGACATCTTTCATATGGAACTTGTGGCTGAAATAGTAACTCCTTATACCGCTCTTCCGGGCTTTTTGTAGCACTGTCCTGACTGTCTAAAGGTAACTACCTTGTTGAAACAACCTTGTTTGGGGTTGGAACTAGATGATCTTTAAGGTCCCTTCCAACCCAAGCCGTTCTATGAGTCTATGAAAGTTGTTATTCCTTAAACATAGTCCACACTACTGTGGCTGCCATTGAAGCGTTCTGGTTAGTAATCTAGTGTGTTTCTTTAGTGTCCTCTAAAGCTGGAAGCGTTTTTTGCTGTTGGTAGTTTCACACAGATTTTAACTTGGTTGTTCGTCTTCTAACATAGCTGTGATAATCTCAGTATCTCAGTAACTGTTTCAAAGCCTGCCAAATGACTGAAACTCTGACGTTCTTCAGGTGCCTGTAGCACTGGATACTATCTGCCATAGAAATAAGTGCAGTATTTTTTCATAGCAGACTAGAGGCATGGAACAAGGCAGACATCAAACACAAAGTGTTTTGGACTGTTTCAACTAGAAGTTGCAGGGGACATATTTAGCTTTCACAGAAGTGGATAACGTTTTACCCTGATAAAGACTTGACTGTAGCTTTACGTTGGCTTTGATGAACACTATGGTGTTCAAAACATTTTGCAGAGATGGAGTCTCCAGCAAGCTACAAGTATACATTCATTTATATTTTGCAGGCTTGGGAGGATGAATAATCAGAGTTGCAGGGTCATGCCTCGCTGAGTTGCTGAAGGACACAGAGAGTCTCATTAGGCTTGCATCGAGGCTCTGAAACGTTGTATTGTGCCTAATTTTGAGCACTTAACAAAGGTGCCTAATTATGGAAGCCCTTCACACATCTTTCTTAAGAAAGAGAAATAAACTCCAGAAATTATTTAACTCATGTAAACCATGAATTACTTTGCCTATCTGGCTAATGGGGAGACAGCCATGAATAGCTCTGATTTTTAGGCACTGATATTTTACATTTTTAAGGTTAGGTGATATACCTTCTGGTATAGGTACTTACAGCTTAGCTATGTTAATCACTCTCACGGGAACTTTTGAGTCCTCATTTATTTTAAACATGAGGTATTGGTTTTGCATGAATTTGAAATGCATTGTAAGTCAACAGTAGCCTCCATCATTTTTGAAGGATGGCAATTCTGTATTCAAAATTAAAACATGCTCCTAGGCTTCATGAGAACAACACAGTATTCAGAAATTAGGGATGGAAAGTACTCTCTCAGCTTTCACTTTTTGTTTTCTGGTGTTTTTCCTCTTGCAAAGAGAAAATCTCTTTAGTTAATCCTGCAACTTTAGGGAGAACAGGTATAGTTAATACTGTCAGCATGCACCTGGGATTCTGTAATGAATGTTTTCCAAATAATGGAATTGTGCAAAAGTAAAGCTGATAATAAACAGAATTTTAGCAAAATGTGAAATATGCATATTGAATAGCTGAAATGCTGTATAATACTTGAGCTTATTCATGGTGTTTGAGAATCTTTTAAGCCAAAGTTGTTTGCAGAGTCTTTCTCTGTGTGATTTGGAAGTGTGTGTTAATATGTTAGTATGCAAGACAGTTTATTACCCATTAAAATTGTATTATTCCAATAACTTTTTTTGTCATTTCCTTTCTGTCTTTAGTGCAGGTTTCTTAGCTTTCTGAGGGGCTTGCTGAAAGATGTAAAGCACAAAAGAAAACTACATACATCTTGCAGGTCACCTCTTTTAAGTCTTTACGAAATAATGAAAGATAGAGCTATTTATCAAGTGCCTGCCGCTCACATGTTAGGGTCCTCTGCTACATCTTCTTGTTTTGTATCATTAATCTTGGGTAGAGGTAGCGAGAAAGGATATGAGCTTATCTGTTATGGCCTGTGTGTTATGAATGATTTTATGATGCAAAGTTTAAGGTTAAGTTATTCTGAACGTATTCTGCTCATAATATTTGCTCTGTGACATTCAGATGTTTGTAAGATCCTCCTGAGATAAACACTGAGTATGCCTGTGTAGTGTCTGTATAGACATTGCAAAGTCCCTATTGCCAATGTAGTTTTAGAGTTCAGATGAAGAGAATAGAATTACCAAGCTTTCAGCTAAGAACCTCTGAAAATATATCTTTTTTTTTTTTTTATTACAATTTAATGTTTAAGTATCTGGCCATTTTTCACTGGTGCCTTTTTGGGTTTGGTCACCAAATTTGGTGTAATGTGAACCAAATCCTAAATGTGAAACTAGACCTCTGTGAGCATGGGCATTTCCTTCCTGTTTAGAGAAATACATCTGTCTGCATTGGTTCAAAAGAGGTAATGCAGCCTTGACTAGCAAAGTCTTTTGCTTTTAACATTTATGTTATAGTTCTTAATAATTCTTATATCACGATGATTATTGCATCAAATGATTTCAGCAATTGTCATGTTACTTTTGTAGCAACTGCACTGTAGTAGTAACTGTTGGTCCAGTGAAGTTTCTAGACCTTTCCTCAGAGCTAACATTTCATACTAACCTTGATTTATTTCAGACATTACTAGCATATCTTGTAACACTAGTTGTATTTACCTTCTTTAATTGCTATATAGCTCTACAAGCACAGTAAAGGAATTAATTCTATAGTCTGCTGAATGCATATTAATTAATGCAAGGGGAAAAGAAACTGCAGTTTTACAAATGATCAAGTAATATATGTGGGGTTTAATGTTAGCAGTATTATCTTTTAAAAATGTGAACCACAAAATACTTTGTGCTTGTCTTAGCAGTCATATATGATGTTTCTTTTTAAAGGACTTAAAGCCCAGTAATATAGTAGTAAAGTCAGACTGCACTTTGAAGATTCTTGACTTTGGACTGGCCAGAACTGCAGGAACTAGTTTTATGATGACGCCTTATGTAGTGACTCGTTACTACAGAGCACCAGAGGTCATCCTAGGGATGGGATACAAAGAAAACGGTCAGCAAATATAGTCTTTCTTTGGCATAGCTTTATTTTTTGTTCGGCACACCACATTTTACATGTTAAATGTTTTTTTTCAAGCTGTAGAAAATTTATAAATTAGGCATGTGACCAAAATGCAGATTCATGTGACCAAAATGCAGATACACCAATTTATTTATCCAATCCCATTAGAAATGTTTGCATTTAATAGGATAATAAATTGAGGGCCTTGTTTGTTTAAAAATTTAAATGACCTGTTTGGTAGATTGAATTTCATGACAGAACTGAAAATGTATTACTTTAATATGTGGTATGTACCTTGGTGTACATTGACCTGATTTTATTCCTGATGAGGATATAAATTGTAGTTCATCAGTAAACATGTGTCCCAAATTGAACGTTTAAAAAATATGTTCAGTATAGCCTTTCAGGACGCAGGAAACAAACAAAATCAAGTCCACCTACAGTGGCATTATTTTTATTGAAACCAGCCCACTTTGAAATTGTCACACAAAGCTCTTAATTAATATTGCTGAAGAAAAAAACAGTGACATACTTCAAAGAATAATGCAGAGTATTGTCATGAAGCAGCATAGATTCTTTGAGGTCCATGATGAACTCAAAGGAAATTCGTTTGCTTTGTCCTGCTTGGGTACGTTTCCCTCCTCTTTATGCTCCGTCTTTGACCCTGGATCTCTCAGTATCCTCTGTAAGAAAGTAAGGAAAGTGTGTAGCATTTGGGGGAAATCACTCAATCAGCTATTTTGTATCTTATAAATGAAACACCTAGTATTTATTCTTTGGGAAACTGAAGTAACATATCCTTCCTGAAGTTCTGCTGCCATTTCATTGATCTGCTGTCGCTGTTGTCAGTTCACCTAACTTGATGTATCTGCTTCAGGCAGGCATTGTGCACAAGGATCACCATTTGCTGAAAATGTTTTAAACCCATTATCGATTAGTTCTCCAGTAAGCCCTAGCAGATGCTGTGATGCTTGAGGCTTTGCTAGCTGTCTCCTGGTGATACAAGGTGTACGGCTCCTCAGGTTACTGACACAACTAGGGCATGCAGTGTTTTTGCAAGGTTCTTAATATAGTCTGCAAACTTTCCTGGCAACCGCATAGCATTAGGGCAAATGACTTCAGGTTGTACAGAAACTGTAGCTGCAAGGTGCATAGAGACTGATTTCTTTTTGTTTTTCATATAAAAGCCAGGAAGAATAACTCCTATCGGTGCTGACAATAGAAGAAGCCAGCTCAAAGGAAAGAGAACAGATCTTTTTTGCAAGGCTGTGATTTATATTTCTGTTTGGATTGTTAGTCTGTCAGATAGGAATACAGTCTTTCAAATGGCCTCCACAGTTGGCTATTTTTTCTGTAACTTAGAAGTCAGGTTGAGTGGAACATACATAAAGTTACTTTTTTTTTTTAACTGCCAAAGTTTCATAGAGAGCACAAATTTAAGTTTCTTTCCTTTTTTTCCCAGAAGGCTTTACATTGGCCAACTGAGAGACAAGTTATAAAAGAACCTAAAGCTGTAGTCTGAGTCACGCAGCTGCTTTACAGAAGGAATTCATGCAATGGAAGTTTCAAATTTTCTGTCTTAGCTTACCCTGTTTACATTTTTTTCTTAAAATTTGAGTTGCGAAAGTGTGAAGCATTCTTTACAGTAAAATGCTTCTCAGGTATTATTGGAGTTAAATAGATTGTGTTCTAGAGCACTCTATTTCTCTAGCGACAATCCTGTTCCTTAAGCAAGAGTGAATTGTGTTTTGCAGCAGAATGTGAAATCACATTTACTTTCATATGAAAAACTACATAGCACAGCATCTTCCCAAACGCTGAATATGTAGTCGTTGAGTTGAGAATGACACTTGTAGAGAATGTAAATCTGTTGGCTAACTGAGTCAGAAGACAATCTGTATTTCCATATGTACTGTTGTCATTAAGAGGTTATTTACATAAACTGTTGCTCTTCTCAGTCACTGGCTGATGAGTTTCTTACTGTGCAGCTCTGGTGACAGAGCAGCTAGGCTGCAGAGGGCAGTGAGGCAGGTATAAAGGATGGACGTGTCTGCAGTAGGAACCATGGACTGTCCAGGATCCCCACCTGTTAACATTGATGCCCATTGTAGCCCTCTAAATCCATAGTTAAAGGTTACCTTAACTTAGTTAAATATTGAAAATTGACAGCTAAAAAAGGTTAAAGAGAGAGTAGCATATAGTTTAATTGAACAGGGTCATCTGACAGCTTTATGCTGTTTCAGTGCCCTGCTGAACTTCCCTTGCAGACAAGATGTGGGAGGATTGCCATACATGTATTGATGACTGAGATACATACTATAGGGTAGTACTCTGTGGTACTATGGTATGTACATATGAAGTCTGTAATTTTTTTAGAACTAGTGAAGATCCCTAACAAACCTATGACAGAGTTAACTTTTCCATATGCCTTATCCTGAAGTAGACAAAGCTTATATGGGTATTTTGCATTAAGAAAGCAGGGCTTGAAAACTGAAGAAATTCAGAATTGAAGGACGCTAAAACTGTTCTTGCAGTTACACCTTAGCATATTTAGTCTTGGGTACTTGTGTGTTATTGTCAGGAAGCAAGCATTGAAAAGCAGGGGAACACCCAAACTCTCTGAAACAATTACTTTAAAGTTTCCTAGTATGTACACTGAGTTTGAATTTCATTTTCACTTAGCTTTTTTCCCACTTAGGGTTATAGAAGATAGTAAATTCACTCCAAGCAGGGTTTTAAAGAATTAAGTACATTATGTATGACAACTAGTAATTTTTAAATATTTTTAAAGGATTTTTTGACATCTTTAAGATTTGACTCAGTCTTCTATAATAGTATCCACAGGAGCAGTCATCTATGTATAAGCTGGTCTAGCTTCTGGAAAAGTTAGTCAGATTCCTATAAATAAATGGGTTATTTTTTGATTAATGAAAGCAGCAAACCAAAAGACCCCCAAACACCAGAAGTTTGTTTAGTACGGTGAAGAGAGGAATTGTACCTAAAGTTTTTCTTAGCCACTAAAGTCTTCTGATGCATGAAGTCATTGACTTATCTTATTTCTCTTCCCAGATTTCTCCATGCAGTTATAGGAGTTGTTTTCATCACATTGGTCACAAACTATTTACAATGGATTTGGATAAAGTTCAGTTTGTGAATGTGCAGCAGAATGTGTACTTCTTGTAAATATTCTAAAAGAGCTTTAAAGAGAAAACATCATTAATCATAAATTATTTTTAAATGAACCAGGCCCTTAATTTTGACCTATTAATATGTACAATTGTGATCTCTTTATCATATGGTTTAGATACTATTTTAGAGGAACTTATTAAATAAGAGGGAAGAAATATTTTCAATTAGAAACAATGTTGTTTGCTTGAAATTGCTTAGCTCCATCACAACTTTAACGTGTGGTTTTTAGTATACAATTATTCTCATTTAAATCCCCTTTTTTTCTGCTAAATTGAAATTCCAGTCTCATGTTTGACATAAAAGTATTTAAAACATTTCAAATTCATCATTATGACTTCAAGAAAATATTTGCGTACAGAGGTAACAGTATCTCTGAAAGCAATGTAAAAAAATTGGCATACCTGTAAAAAATAAGCTATGAGTATGTCTTCTGAATTATTTAAGATAATGAAGAAAACGTGTATTTCATACCAAAAATATATTGCTATTGAGTTTTTCTTTTCTATAAGATGTTATTTGAGCATAAGTGGAGAAATATTTTTAAACGAAATAATTTATCTGAAAATCTCTTAGGAATGTACTAATATTGTCATTAACTGATCCTCTAAAATTCTAAGTGACCTTTTACTGATTGTATTTGCTTTTTATTTAAATGGAGAGAGATATGCATGATAATCTGACTTACAGGAAATGTTTGATGGCAAATGTTATTTAATATGTTAAATAATTAATTCTGCTCCTAAAAGTGTAAATTACGTAGATATACCACATTTATAAAAGTCAATTTAGTTTGCTGCTCTTAAAACGATTCCTATAACTACAGCGAAAATAATTTTAATAAATAAACTTATCTTTGGTGCATCATTATAATCTACTGGAAGATCTTTGCCAGTCTCAGAACTTGAAGACAAGCGTTACTCTGTTTGATTCATGTATATCTCTCTCTCTCTGCTCTAGCTCTTGCTTTAGCACTGTATAAACCAAAGGATGGTTTTCTGCCTTGTATTTGAGACAGTTAAAAGCTAATCCTTATATGCTGTGTTTTCAAAAGTGGTCTCATTGATTAATATAAAGACTTGCTCTTCTTCCTGTGCTGTCTCTGCTGTTTATAGAATGCAGTCATGTTATGCTTCTTTTCATTTTAAATGACCGTTTGCTTTGCTTTCCCTTCTTTTTGTGCTACAAACATAGTGGATTTATGGTCTGTGGGGTGCATTATGGGCGAAATGGTTTGCCACAAAATCCTCTTTCCAGGAAGGGACTGTATCCTTGTGCTGCTGCAGCAGGTTGAATTAGTTAGGAAGTGATTAACCTTTTTATTGATGTTGTGTCATGAAAATGCGTATTGTGCAATATTTTTTTTATTAAATGGATATGAATTTTTCTTGTGATACACTTAAAAAAAATTGTTTAGAATGTCATTTATACTCAGGCTGCACCTAGCAGTAGGACATAGTCTCTGCTGGTCCTCTAGTTAGCATACATTCATCCACCTTCACTCACCTTCATTACACATGCTTTTTATAGTCACTTCATTTGTGTGTGTGTGCGTCTAGATATTTTTATTTACTTTATTTTGGTAACTATCTTTTATGTTAATATCATTGCATTTTGTTTTCAGTTGACATTTGGTCAGTTGGGTGCATCATGGGAGAAATGATCAAAGGTGGTGTTTTATTTCCTGGTACAGATCGTATCCTTACCTTTGGCCTAGGATGTAGTAATAAAAGGTCAAAAGAGACTGCAACGATTTAGTTCTAGGTTAAGGTGGTTCCAATTTTTAAAATACTGTTTTTAAACTGCCTTGTCAAAATGCAATTTGCTAGTTCCTAATTTTAGTTCCGGGATGCTGCAAAAATGTCTACAGTTATACCATTTAAAGCAAAACAACACAGATGGCTTTAACAAGTATGACTGTCTTTAGAAATTAATACTAAGAAAATACAGCAAAATGAACAAAATACCACTTGGGCTGAACAAGCTTATTTTTCCTTTTTCCTTTCTTTCTGTTTGTTCATTTGCTTTTTCAGTTTAATATAGTGTCTATCCATTGTTTTTGGACATTGTCACATTTAAGACAGATTTGTTTGTTTGTTTGTGTAGGTGGTGTTTTGTTTAGGTGGTTGACATGCGTTGCTTTTTGCTTTGGACTTCATATTTATATAATAACTTACTAATTTTGTTTGGTACCCAAGCATATTAGCAGTTGTTATTTTATTTTTTATTGTTTTATAGGAGATGTTTACAAAAAGTTCCTAACTTGCTTAAATGGTTGCACTCCGTGGATTTTTATTTTTGTTTGCAGAATTCATCCTGCAAACAGCTTTCAGAAATACCTGGTGCTTCTGTCTTTCTCTTCCATGATTTGCTTGGTGGTGTCTGTGTGGGTTGTCATGTGAACAGTGCTTCAGGCAAAGGATCTGCTACAAGCAAATAGAGCTGAAGCCTCTAGATCCTTGCTAAAATCAGCAGTTATCTAATTCGAGTTTGGCATTTTATTTGTTTCACTAGTAGTTTCCTTCCGTTTTGTTAGATGCCGTCAGAAATTTTTCATGCTTTTGCTATAGGTTAATTGTTTAAAAATTGTTACATTCCTGTTTGAGGGTGAGGATTGGGTGAAGGTTTTGGGGCACAGCAAGGAGATCTGGGGACTTTCACACAGCTCTGGCATTGCATTTGCTGCACCATGCTAATGTTCTCAATCTGATTTTCTTGCATGGCTTTGCAGTTTAGGCTCAGTGCCATACAACGCAATACTATTTTTTTTCAAGGCCTGTGCAAAGCATTGTATAGCTATGAAACCTTACTTTAAAATTTTAAAAACAGAAGAAAGGACCTGCTAGATACAAGTGAAGGTTTAGGGAGTGCAGTATCAAGTCTTCAACAGTAGCTGAACATAAAATGTTGGGAAGACTGTATGACTGAGATAAGCATATACAAAATTTTACTCTCTCCCAGTATCTAGTGACCTGCAACTAGAAATTCCTGAGCCAAGCTTCACTTTTTTTTATTTTTTTTTAGTGGCATATATTAAATTTTACTGCCGTGAACTGGGCAATCTCTCCTTAACTGGTGTAAGCTTTTCAATTAAGATGTTCCTTACATGCCCTTGAAAGTCTTCTGCTTCAATGTTGAAGACTGACAAAATTGTTAACCTGTGTGATCCAGGATTTCATCCTTTATGAGCCCACTGGTGCTGTGCGTTGTGTGTCATTAGGGAGAGATCGCTAATTTGGTAGAGTCCAGAACTCAGATGAGTTATCAAGGCAAGAAGAGAGGACAAAGCACCCATGCATAGTGATTTTCTTCAATGAATTAATGGTGCTTAATAGCTCGGTTGCTGTAAATAAATGTTTAGAGCAGGAAGTGAGTTTTTCTCAGAATGTCCTTAAAAAATAACCTAAGCACTTTTATTTGAACTTAATGAATTTTGTGAGTCTTTTTATTTGCTTTGTTTCACAGGAGTATATCCTTTGCCATTTAATTCTTATGATTTCGAGTAAAATGCACGTTGCCTTTACTACTCAATCATTCTTGCTTTGCTTCACTGTTTTCTCTGAGAAGATTATCCTGATTAATGCTGAATTTGATAGTTTATTAAAATTTTTTGTTTTTATCTCTGTTGGATAATTCTTGTGGTTTTAACGTAACTTTTTAGCTGAAAATTAGACATTGTTTTTCTTAGCTGTGAAACCTTAGATATTGATCAGTGGAATAAAGTTATAGAGCAGCTAGGAACACCATGTCCTGAATTTATGAAGAAACTACAGCCCACAGTCCGAACTTATGTTGAGAACAGACCCAAATATGCTGGATATAGCTTTGAGAAACTCTTCCCAGATGTTCTTTTCCCAGCTGATTCTGAACACAACAAACTTAAAGGTAAGGTCTGTCTTCTGTGCATTGTATATTTTTAAAGTTTATAAACTTCATTGCATTGAATAGAAATGTATCTTAGTTTTGTTCACTGTAGAATCATGCTGCTAAGGTTTTAAATGTTACAATATTAATATCATGGAAGCAGATGAAAGTTCTGAGATATGGTTACCTGCACTTTCTTATCCTCCCTGGAACATCTATCCTGGTAAAACCTGTATAAAGAAAATGAAGCATATTTCTCTCAATGACAGATGTGATTTAGAGAAAAATGAGGGGAGGCATAGAAGTTGTGTAGCCAGAGCAGATCTTCTTTCTTCAGGAAATTGATGAAAATAAAGTTTTTATATTCATAATATGCATATATCCTTTAGTTATTAAAATGGTTCTTTCCTAAACCCCAAATTCTGTGAGGCTTGTATAGATCCTAAATTGGAGTTTGTTTACCAGTCTTCTTTCCTTATCAGCTTTGAAATACTGTGTTATGTGCATATGGCACCAGTGTAAGTAGAAAATTTCACTTTTGCAGCAAGTCAAGCAAGGGATTTGTTGTCAAAAATGCTGGTTATAGACGCCTCTAAAAGAATTTCTGTGGATGAAGCCCTTCAGCACCCGTACATCAATGTTTGGTATGATCCATCAGAAGCAGAAGCTGTAAGTTCTTGTTTTAGAAAGGTTGCTTCTCTGACTAAGACAGTCCTGTATTAAAGCAAACTTGTTGTGATACTCGATGTAGCTGCTTGAAAGATTATTGCATGATCTACACATTTCACTAGAAGCTTAACTGAGCTGTAATCTTTTTATTGTCGTTGATCTACTTGTTTATTAGAATTAGTATTAGGAATGGGCACAAACTTGCAGGTAACTAAAGTACTTTTGTGTGTGCATCTGTATTTCTTTGTAATTGCATATAAACTCATATAAACTCCTAGACAGGTAGCAATGCACCTGAAGTCTCTGATACAGAGTTCTAATTTTTTAGTTTCAGTTGTTTCAGTCAATAGTTTGTTTCAATCAATAGTTTGATTGCCTGTGATAGGATTCTGAAATATTTACTCGTGAGCAAGAGAAATATTTTCATTAGTTGTAGCAATTGATAGTACTCTTAAAATGAAAATATTTCAGCAAAAACTTTCTTCTGTACAAGACCTCAAGCTTTCAATTATTGACACTAAAGAACAGAGGAATTAAATGAAGATCTTAGTTAAAAAATAAATTATTTCAACTTGTGGGGAGAAAAAAACACATTTTTAAGAGAAAGTTAGTAGGATGCTTGATGTAGATGGTGGAATTAGAATTCTGCTTAATTAACACTAAATAGGTAAAAAGGGCTGCTTGAGCTGGAGACCACTGTCCTTATGAGCTATTTCACCAGACTGTTCAGTTTCTGCTTTAATTATTTCAGTAATGGTAGCAAATCTGCTAATCAGAACAAGTTTAAAACGTGAAGCAGCATCTAAAAAATAAGCCAAGTATGAGAGATTATTTGTCCATGTAAATACAGTATTTTAAAATCAGGTTCCTATTCAGAATATTTTAATTCAATTTTTCATTTATTCTAGTTTCGTTTCCCTTTTGATTACTTTATCATGAGTTAGTTTTGTTTTCCAGCCTCCACCAAAGATACCAGATAAGCAGTTAGATGAGAGGGAACACACGATAGAAGAATGGAAAGGTAAGAACAACGCTTTTGCTTATCCTGAAACTTTTTTGAAGTAGATTAGTCTCCAAGGTTTACTGTTATTAAGATTCTCCTGAGTAACCTAATAGTACATACTTCAGTTGCTTGGAATGGCAAAGGAACAGATCAATGTTTCACAAGCTCTTGATTTTAAGGACGCTATAATTTTTCTGTAAAGGTGATGAACCTTTGTAGCGAGCTTAAGTTCATTCAACTGTAGGTCTGCTCATTTTGGTCACCTTTTGCAAATCATAAGGCAGCGGTTTTAGGGAGAGGAACTCTTCTGAACAGAACTGGTACAACTGAAAAAAAATTCAGGATTTGGAGCAGTGTAAATCTGAAATAGAAGCATCGCTGTTAAGTGAAGAGCATATTAGCGTTTTTTGTACTGAACATAATTAAAGCAGAGGAGTGTTAGTAAAGGGCAAGATAGAGAGGTTAAAGTGATGTGACAAACGCTGATGGTTATCTCCTGTGAGGCCCAGAGATAGTGGCTAGGGCTGAGGTGTGGAACAGATCATAGTATGACATAAGACTTACCTCCAAGAGTATGATTTTTAGTGGTCAGTAGTGGTTTTGTATCTATATTTTCCTTTATACTTATAAAGTACAAGGGGAACCTCTTTGTTACCTGTAAAGCTTGTGTTTCATTTTGAAATTGCTTCTACAAGGTGTGGCGTTACTGCAGAGGTCCTAGTGCTAAGAGAAAATGCCATCTGCCACTGCATCCATTAGCGTTTGATGTATTGTAATCTACAACCTTGTTGTAACCTTCTGTACCCCCTGCACTTTAGAAATCAAGAGAGTTGCTGAGCTTTAAAGACCTGTGGAGATTGGTTTTAAGATAAATGAAACCTCCACTTCTAGTGGAGAAATCTTTTACATCCGTACTATTAATATCATATATTTTCCTTTGCTGCTATTGACAAGTCAGACAATACTAATTGTATGACATTGTAGTTTTTGGAAATGACTTATTTTTTTTAGAATTATTTATGTAAGTAAATGGGTCAGTTACTGTAAGAGTGCAATGTTTAACTGCCACCTCTAAAATGTATTACTCTTTTATTGTCACCAACTGTACTAGCTAGGCTAAATACTGAAAAACAAAACAAACAAACAAAAACAACACAATTTATTTAGAAATGTCTGCAGGTAATAAAAATGCCTTCCTCTGGATCACTGCAGTCTTTAAGTATATGATTTAGCGTATCAGAAGATTTATTGTGATCTGAATTGGTACTGGTTATTCCTAAGTGAAAGGCAGAACAAATGCTTGAATTGCTAATTGCATTTTTCACTGAGATTAGGGCAGGTATGTGGCTTTCCCGCTGTGGGCCTATGTGGTAGTTCTTGAGAGTCTGTCCCCAATGTGCATTTCAGTGCCTTAGACTATAAATGTTCTCACTTAGGATAAACAAGTTGCTTTTATTTAGGATGTTTGTTTCCTCTGTCTCAGGTACCTCATTTAGTTCTCTGTGGTTTAAGTGTTTTAAATAGGACCAGTGGTAGCGTTGAGCTTGGATGGATCCAGAGACTGTGAAGGCTACAAATACTGAATTTAAGCAAGAATTTAGTGCAACTACTGATCTAATAATTTGTACTGAAAAAGTCTAGGAAGGAATATCAGATTGGTATAGCCTTTTTATCCCCAGAGGGGGAAAACCAAACCAAACCAAAAAGAAAACTGGAAAAATGTTTAATGGGTCATTTTTTACAGTTTCATTCTGTTGGCTGATGATGGACACCAGGCTGTAAAATCTAGTACTACCATACTTGCAACTCACTTCCTATTAGAAAATGGGTTTTAATTGTAAAGGCAGAGATAGAATTGTGGAAACTCTCTCCCTGTGCTCCTTCCCAGCAAACTTTATTCCCCTTTTGAAACAGAAGATAAATAGTTATACTGCTAAAATAAAAGATAGGTATTTCAGGCAGTATAGAGTTTACTTTTGAGACTTCACAGCCCTTGAAACTGTAATTCCTAAATGCTTTTTTCTTCCAAACTCTTTGTACATGATATTAGTTTGCCAGTGACAGTAGCCTGACGAGTTGGTTCTGATGAACTGCATTTAGTATGTTTAGTTCTGTTATTCTGTCGCTACTTCTATAGATTCATAGCTGAAGTCTCTTCTCAGCAATAAGCTGCCTTTAGGTGAGAAACCTTCTGGCCAGTATATAGATAGGGCAGTATGATTCTTGTTACAAGCACTCTAGTAGCACGTGTAACCTTTTTAAGGATGACGAACTTCTGTAACTGTAAAATAAAGTTGCTTCTTTCGTTTCTAGCATCTACTTCTATGCAATGTTGTATTCCATTTCATGGTGACCTGGACCTTTAGATGTTGTTAATGAGGAGATTTAGTGGCAAATGTGTGTTGGGAGGATGGCAATGCTGTGTGGATTTGTTCATTGTGGTTTTTGCTACTATCTCTTCCAAGGGCTTTTGGCCTGGTCTCTTCTAAGGGAACTCCTACTTGCTGAGATTATCTGTCACTATTCTTTCAGAGTTTCAGAGTGTCTGCATCATAGAAAAACTAATAGATGTAGTGTGTGAAATGGCTTTTTGAGATGAGAAAGAATCGGTGACAAAGTAAAGAAACTTGTTCTCCAGAACAGCTTTTTTACAAAACATTGTGTAACAACTTTGTGCATAGCTCCAAGATTCTGAAGTGCCACTTCGCACGACTTGTCTCTTAGGTGAAGATTTTATAGTGCAGGTGAGTAGAAGTGAGAAGCACTGCAGTGCTGAGAGAAGCTGTATGAAGCCATTCTAATCCTATTTGGGAACAATTTGGTTCTCTGTAAGTGTAATTGTCCTTGAATGAATAAAACCATGTGCGGCTAAAGTACATCCACAGAGCTACAGTTTTCTGGCAGTGTAGGCTGGAATACTGCCAGGTAACTGCAATGAGTTTGAATGTGATGGCAGCACATGCAGTTCCTGGTGGCCTACCTGTTCTCTTGAAGATTGCTGATCCAGTTGTTCTGTACCAAAGAAGTCATTGATAAAAACTGAGTGGTCACTAAGACTCAGTTTAACCCCAGGTCCCCAGGCTGTCTGGATAAAAGTCTTGGGGCAATGTCAGTGTGTGCTTGAGAGTGCGGCTCCAACAGAACGGAATTGTACTTTAATATACAACTTGCCAATTTTTCTGTAGCCTACAACATGTTGTTCAAAACTTATTCTAAACAGTAATGAACCTAAGAAATTTTAATGGTAGATGTGTTGTTAATTGAGTCCTGTATTTACAAATTCATTTTTCTACTTTCTTTTCCCTGCATTTTCAGAATTGATATACAAGGAAGTCATGGACCTGGAGGAAAGAACCAAGAATGGGGTTATACGTGGACAACCAGCCCCTTTAGGTTGGTTACAATAAAAGCACAGTACAAAGCTCTGTTGAGTACTAGGTTAGGAGGGTGTAAAGCTGTTCAAGACATCTGAGAGTAACCTGACTCAAAAATATGTCTCTTCAGTGGCCGATAACCTCTAGAATTCTCTTTTAGCTCTGGGTTTATGCAGTGTTATCTCTGTGATTTTTAACCTTCAGACAATAGCATTTATTGGAATTTGACAGGTGTCCTGTCATGTGAGTTCTGTGGTTCCTGACATACCATTCATTAAACCCCAAATTAGAGAATTGTGGATTTTATTTGCTTTGACAATGGCTTGAGATACATCTCTTCAAACTCACTGAAATGGGGAAAAGTAATGACTCTTAGGAAGAGACAGACTAATGCAAGTGCTGAACCATGCAACTGTATCTGCAACTGATTTGCTGTTTTGTTTCTCATAGCACAGGTGCAGCAGTGATCAATGGCTCTCAACATCCATCTTCATCGTCATCTGTCAACGATGTGTCTTCAATGTCAACAGATCCAACATTGGCCTCTGATACAGACAGCAGTCTAGAAGCTTCAGCTGGACCTCTGGGTTGCTGTAGATGACTACTTGGTCTTTTGGGGGGAGGGAGGGGGGTCCTTTTAGTCATGAATAGGGCACCTTTAAAATTTGGTGGTATTTTTGAGTGTTTTTTCAAAAATAATCGTAGAATTCATCATAAAGTGCTGTAATTTTAAACTGTAAGTTGTGTTAAAAGCAGCCACTTTTTTTTTTTTTTGCTGTAATTAACTGTAAAATATTAAACCTGATAATTTTTATTGTGGTTTTAAAATCTGCATATTTGCTTTACTATTATGCTGCTGATTTTTTTTTACTGAATTTGTAAGATTTGTTTTATCAAAGCACATATTAATGTTGTGGTCATTACCATATCATGAATTATTTAAGATTTTATAGGTTTTCAATTTTTTAATTAGAATTTATTCCAGATGTTTTGTTCATGATATCCTTCAAAGTTTTATGCTTGGTCATATGTCCATGTGAAGGTGGGGAGAGAATTCAGTGCAGCCAGCTGTAGTTTTTTTGGGGCATACTACTGTGGTGCTGGCAATGAACAAAATCCTCTTTTATTTTGGCCGCTTGCCTATAATACTTCAGTAAAAGCAGCAGTTATTGAATTTTGTTAGAGAAACAAACCTCAGCAAAGAAATTTAATCTGAACGGTTTTCTGAACTTAAGAAAACAAAACCTATCTTCAAGGCTGCAGAAATATCTAGCCTAACAAAGGGATGTGATGTTTTCTGCAGAATTGTGGCATGCCAAACCTGTGATCGCCATAAAACAAGAGGATACTTCATGAATAACACATTGCAATGCAAATAAACTGTTTACTTCTAGCTTGTAGCCTGTTTTTGTACACACAAAACAAAGTGAATCCAGGATGTCTAGACTGCCAACAGGGAAAGCAATTATACTTACATGTAGGATATAATTCTTGGGTGTTCAGTTTCTTAGTATTTTTGTCTGCTAAGGTGAGTGCTTTTTGGGGAGAGGAGGAAATGATGTGAATGCAATAGGGACAAAACTTAGCTATTCTTTCTCCACCAAAAGTAACTGATAGCTAAAACCGTAAGTGGTAGAAGAACCTCAGGATTTCTGTAGTTAATGCATTAAGTGAGCAATATATACCATCCAAAGGAGGGAGAAGTAGTGCTGTATAAATTAATATTTATCTCTTTCATTTCACCATGAGACCAGTGTAGCAGAAATCTTAATAATGGTTCATTTTAAGTCATAAATATTCAGTAGCTTTCAGCACTGAAGCTCCAGATTTCAATACACTTTTTAAACAAAAGATATATTGAAATATGTCGAACAGTTACTAAATAGTCATGTAAAATGGTGCTGCTCCTCACAGAAGTATTTTAACTGTTTACATTTTATATTTACAGAATGATTTATGTATAACTGACTTAAGTTTATGTATGAGTTAAACAATCATTCAGAATTTATTCTTTTGGAAAATGCAGATTTTTAGTGAAGCTAGGCTGTATAGTTGATTGCCTTGTGTAGATGCATATTTTGTAGTGACTTAGAATGTGAAGAGGAATTCAAATTAGTCATGCTAACAAAAATGAGCATAAGAAATACAGAAGTCTTGCCAGGCACAGAGTAAAGTAAATAACATGACTGGCTATAAAGGTCATCCAGGAATTACTGATACTCTTCAGTGTGGTTCCTTCCACTTTGTTGGGTTAAATAAGTATCTTTTTGAAGTTAGAATCAAAAGAGGAAAATTTGTCTTTGCAGAAAGTTTCAGAAAAATGTAAGTGATAGTAATGCTTTCAATATCTAACATGTCTTTTTAAAAAAAATACAGGGTACAAGGACTGGTAATGTCTCAAAGATGACTAAATTGATAAACTGCACAGTTGTTTCCCTGGCCTGGCTAGACTGCTGGTAAGTGCTATGTGTGTAATTTTGCTTTCCTCATTTGTACCGAATATTTCAATATTGCCTTTCTAAACACATTTGTTAAGGCAATTATTTTTACAGGATCCTGCCAAATTGTATAGTACCTCAAAATAGGCAGGACATATTTGGATTCATCTCACACTGGAACATAGAAAATCTGCTCAATTTGAACAGAGACCAACAGAACAGTCTATTTTGTAATTTTTTATCAAAGTTTTAGCTGAGAATTAAGCCAAAATTTTTGGTCATACAACAGTACTACATTGTTATATACGGTTAACCCAGCATAATGAAATTAAGGTTGACAAAGTGAACTTCTGATACCTGTAAATGCTGTGTGAAGAACAAAATTTGGTAAATGTAATTGCTATTTCAATTGATTTTGGACCACTCTGGATTGCAGTGGTGACTGAAATATTTTGAAGCTTAAAAAAAAAATGCTATCACTTTCCAGTATCCTAAAGAGAATTGCTTTTAAATGAATATTGAGTGAAAGCTACTTTATTCTTTTTTTTTCTTGCAACATAAACAGGCTGAGTCTAATGTTTTACTACAGCATGTTATTGATAGTAACTTCATTTTGCTCATAATCTGTAAGGAGAATTGAGCTGTTTTTTCTTTTAAGATAGGGTTGATGAATGGCTGATACTATGCACTGCAACCCATGCAGTTAGAAGTGAGCTATGTTTAAAGTGATTATTTCACTAAGGTCAGAGCTTTGGATGCTAGAACCTGTAGTTCACTTCTGGCCTCATAGCAATGTTACTTTGTTTTTTTCTTAGTTGATTTCATTTTTTCATTTTAGGCAAATTAAAGTGACGGTAAATTTAAAAGATAAGAAAATAAGATTCGCAGTAACCAAATTATCACAATAGTAGACTAGTCTTAACATCACTTTTTATTTGTTGAAATGTAAAATGTTTTCAGAGATGATTGTACATTGCCACACATAGCAAACAAATGGGTAGCTAGAGATCAGCTCTTTTTGTCTATTGTTCTGTTGTTAGCTAGCATAGTATACTATCTAATACACTGTACAATTTTAGTCGTAAAGTATTATTAAGCTTTATTTTAGTATGTGATTCCAAAATCTTCTCCTGGCACCAGGCTTCACTAAAGTGCATATAACTTTCCACTTCTAGGGCATTCCAATCCACTGGAGTTTGGTAGGGATTGAATTACAGTGAGCTGTGTCTGATTTCCTGTCAGGTGAGGTGAACAGTTGGACAGTAATAATAAGATTAATTCCCACCTTCTGCGATCAGAGCTGTGTCAGGCACCAAGGACAAAATGGCTCCTTTCCCTCTGTAGAAGTAGGTTGCTCAAGGATTTTAAATAGAGAATGAGAGCGGAAGAGTTTCATACTGATACTGTGTGCTGTACCTCCACTGTGTGACATCTTTTGTTGAGACAAGACAATGGGGTCAGAACGGAGATTTTTGTGTGTTAGTGTGTGGGGAGAAGTTGGACTGCCAAAGCAATACCAACCAGTTGAACAACTGTAGACTAGCCAGACAATGCCCACTGGATATCAGGAAAAGGTTCTTCACAGAGAGGGTGGTCCAGCACTGGAACAGGCTGCTGAGGGCGGTGGTCACAGCACCGAGCCTGACAGAGTTCAAAAAGTGTTTGGACAACACTCTCGGACATGTGGTCAGATTTTGGGGTGGTCCTTTGCAGGGCTGGGAGTTGAGCTTGATGATCCTTGTGGGTCCTTCCCAACTTGGGCTATGCTGTGATTCTATGACTGACCAGGTCACCTCTGTTTCACTCATTCTGCAAACCAGAATAGACATGGCACTTCTCCCTATGGAGATATGATACTGCTTGGGTTTTTGGTTTAGAAGAACCTTTCTAAACTATATGTATACTAGTGTTGTTCTGGATAAGAGTAAGTCTTCCTGCTCTGTACACACACACAAATTTAAGAGGATGTAGTGAGCTGCATTTGAGGCAGTTGTGGCAATAGCGTCCTCTACTGCTTCAGTGTACAAGTAAGTAGAATGTTACTGATGTGGGTTTTACGGAAACTTGCTTCGCTGAACGTAAAGGTTATTCAGTTAGAAAGCAGAAACTCAGCACCTTGACAGAGTGTTTGTATAAATATAATGCGCCTGCATTCATATATATGGCATTCATCTCAACATTGCATAGAGGAAAAAAATGATCAAAAAGCTAGTATAGTTCCTACCCATCCGGTAATCCAAAGCATATGACATTAAACGTTCCTCAATCAAGATTATGGGGGAAATGGAAGAAGATGATTCAGCTACCAATTGTTCTTACTGTTTTGAGTTGCTAAAGGGAGTGAATTACTCTTTCTAGATATATTTTATTTGCTGTTGACAGCAGCCTGTTTGTGTTGTTACATTTCATTTGCCTGTTAATGTTTTGGTTCATCTGTCCCTCCGTATTTAGTTTGAGGACTGAAGTTGAAAGAGAGTTGTCTGCATTTTTTGGTAGGATTAGAAAAGATTTTAATGCAGATATGTGATGAGACTTTATTGCCTACCCAAATTTTCAATTCATTTCTTTGTTCTTAGTTAAGGGCACTGGATAAAAGTGATATATATTTTAATTAATCTATTTCACTCCCTTCTTCCTATGAATCCAATAACGTTGTTTCCACTTTTGCCATTAAAATTTTAAGCTAGGTTTTCTTGATCTACCTCACACAAACTGTCTACATTTCTAAGTAAGCAAAGCTAACCCTTGCTATTGGAACTACACTGAATGTGAAATAGAAAAATACACTTCCTTTAGAAAAATAAACCTATTGGCCAATGTTGAGACAATATCAGTAAGTATGTTTCTTATATATTTCACGTAAGATGTTCATGTGTAATATATAGCTTGTGTACAATAATGTACATCTAGAATATTGTGTTAGCTGTAAATTGGTGATTTTATTATTGTAGTCTGTTTTTGTAGGTTACGAATAGCTTACTAGTAATGTCAGCCCATCCTTTACATTTTACAAAAGGAATAATTCTTGGTAAGCTTTGCATACAGATGAATTACTTTTGTAGGCCCAATATCTAGTCTATTTTTGAGAGTTCTTTAACTTTTATTACTAAAGTTGAGAAAAAAAAAACAACACCCTAATTATTGTGATCATTATTTCTGCCCCTTTTGAAGTAAATTCCCAATTTTATTTCATCACAAGAAATATGAAGGGGAAGATACACCATTAAAAATATTGGGAAAACTAATTTTTTTTCCCTGCATTTGATACCTTTTCCTGCTTTTCATTTATTCCCTCCAAATAAGCTGTTGGTGGGGCATTACTGAGAACATTTGTTTTTTTTTTTTAATCATTCATGCCATAGGTCATTACATGTGCACCACTGGAATGTATACATTGTTATCTAGTATGTTAATTGGTTATAATGATATTTTAAATAAAAAAGAAAAAAAAAGTTTGACCACTATGCACGTAGTGTTTCTTCATTGCTAGGATTGCACATCATGAATAAGGCTGCAGCTGGAGTTGTGTTAGCACCAGTCTTCCCTGAGATTCCATCTGTTTTAAATGGTATTTAAGTCCTGTCTTGTGTGCGAGCTCACTTGTGGACAAAAGTGATGTTTCTTCCATTTCTCCATTCTCATGGGCTTTGGCTGTGCCACAGACTGATAGCATCAAGTGTGTTTACAACTGCTGAGAATCCATTCTTACTTCTTTGATACCAGCTGTAGCCTGCCTTCTTTCCTGGAAATAAAGCTGCTGAGACCCGATGTGGTAAAAAGAGGTAAGCCATGGACCTTGTAGTGTATGAAAGGAGGATACATGGAATTTGCCTGTAGGAGAAATTTTTCTCAAAACTGAGTCCCAGATAAGGCTTTAAGGGCTCTGACTTTATGAAGAGCCCTTATGGAAGCTCTTATTTGGGTGACGGGCCTGCTTCCTTCACTGGCACCACTGCAGTGCAGATAAATCCTAGCATAATGTGTTTCATTACCTTCATTTCCAGCAGGGTCTGCATGTTGCTTTAAATGAACAGTCAAGATGCTTTTGAGTTGTGTTTGGCTGCATGTTGTTAGGTTTTCTTTGCGTCCTTGTTTTAAGGGAAAGGTGCGATGACCATGGGCAGTACAAAGCAGCCCATTCCATTTCTTTGGACCAGCTATTAAGTAGGCGTTCTAGGAAAGCTGTGTGGCTCAGTGCTGTTCTTTTTTATTTGCATCTGTTAGCACTAAGCGGGGCTGGTACCAAGTAATTTATTAATATAATAAGAGTGAGGTCTGAGAGTCCAAGCTCTGTCAGGGATTTGTCTGTGGGTGACTATTTTTGATCATCTTGGACAGTGGCTCTGGCTCACAGAACTAAAGCTGAAACTCTGTAGTGCTGCTGGCTTGTACAGACTTCTTTGGTGAATGTGGGTAAGTCAGTCAATAAGCTACCATTATTAATTTTTCTTTTCATATTAGAAATGCCATGGAGACCTACAGAATTTTTTTGTTGTTCTGGAATATTTTACTTTGGATTTTTTTTCAAGTATATGTTTGTGTTGTATTCCTTTAATTGATTACTTATTTATTACATTTTTTGTTTTGGCTGCATAATATTGGAAGGGATGTTCCTGGCTGGGAAAATTATGCTAAAATTTAGGTATACTTAATGCCAGCAGCCTTTCTTCATTTTTTGTTAGAATTAACAAACCCGTATCTTGAAAACTCTTGCTAAGGCTGGTATTTTAAATTGGGGGTGGAGGCTGGAATAACCTAGAAGTCTGTAAAATAAGGAGTGGTCTTATATCCATGAGGTAGACACATGACGTGTAGAGAAACAGGCATTACAGTTAGTAAAGCAAATATATCGTCCTCAAATAAGGACACATTGATCCATGAGGTTGTGTCCAACATCTCAAGTGTATTCCCATTTCTTGCATAATTACTCACGAGAGGAAATTAACATCATGTGTCTGCTACTGTGCTTTAGAGTTTATATCCCATCGTGGTGTGTCTTAGCATGAACTTAGTAGTTTGCAACGTCTTGCAGCCTTCACTTACTGCAGAGGCTCATCTTCAAAATGACCTGAAATTTATTACTCATGAAGAAGAGGAATAGATGTTTCTGGAGCACAACAGTCGACTGAAAAAAAAAGGTTAGTTCCGTTAATCACTTTGAGTGGATACAGTTTGATCTGTGAAACTGAAAACAGGAATGAATTTTATCGTGTCTGCCAGATTAATATCATGTAGTATTCTACATAGTTAACAGAAGCTCTTACAGTGGAATGGAATTGGTGGATTTGTTTCCCAGTCCAGCTATATATACATGTGTATATATATGTCTATATATGTTGCCTAGTATTCTGACTACTTAAAGAATTTTTAGAATTATTCATTTGATTTCACTGAGAGCTGTCTTGTGTAGTGCTTCCCCTCCTTACCTCACATACCTGTTTTAGTCTCCCAGTCAGCATGGCTCAGTTTGTAGCATGCCAGAACTGAAGCAAGTAGTCTGCACTCGGCACATCCAGGAGCTAATGCAGTATAAATAGTCTAAGGGATGGGGGCTGTCAGGAGGATGGATGTAATGAAAGGTACCCGTGTTGGGGATAAAAATAAAAGGGTATTAAAGTAGCCTATTTGGTATTACTTTGGATTGAATGTCCCAGATAGTACAAGCTGTTGCTTTTTACCAGTCCTGGTGTTCTACTTACGGAGAATTACTTACAGCTCAATTCAGGCAATGCTCTAATATTGAGGTTTATTTTGTGAGGACAGTAACTGTACTCGGTGCTGCCTCAACTCACTGTGCCATTCCAGCTGAAAATCATTGTTACAACAGGGATTGCTACTCACATTATGCATCTTAATGCTGTTGATTTAAACAAGCCATTGTCTTCCTTGTAGATTCAGTTGTGTCCCTGTAAGTTGGTGATCAATCGTGATTAGTAGTTAACACCCTAGAAGGCTGTGATCATTAACACAGGGGTAAGGCTGCTGCTGGTGCCTGCAGGGGGCAGGCTGCTCCTGTTGAACAGTCAGGGATGTGCCACGCTGCTTAACAGCAGGGGTAGTAAAGAATGAAGCGCAGCTGGATACTCTGGAGAGAAGGGAAAATGTTTTGAAATAACTGAACTGCTTAGTTTTATTTGACCACTTTGTTTGACTTGTTATAACTAGAAAATACTAGGTAAATATGTTTTCTTTTTGTTCACTTTAAATGTCTTACATTTCTGTAGAAAGGAGAAGCACTATAGTGATAAAAAAAAAGGTAACATCTATTAAAACATGGATATCTGTGAGATGAGGAGAAAGTCAATAGTAAAAGGTGTGCAATCTGCTAGTATTAAAAAAAAAAAAAAAACATTCCAAGGTTATTTCCAGATGATGAGTTATATTCTTCTTTAGTAAGAAAAGATGTCAGATTCAGGTCATTTAAACAAAAATAGTTAAAGCAAGCACTTTCACTATGGTCTGTGCTTTTGTCTTATCCGGTTCATGTTGTGGTACTTTTCTGTTAAAAATCTTTCTCCTTTGAGGCTCCCAAGCTGCCTCAGCTGTCAGAGAGAGCAAATAATGTGGTGAGTGCTGGGGCTGGTAAGCAGAGCTCAAGATGAATCTAGTGATACAATTTGTGTGTGCAGGTTCTGCATAGCTTAGGGCACTACAAATGTTATGCAGAACTTCTCAAGTAAGTCCCTTGAAGGGAAGTGAGCACTGACAGCTAATTACTGGAAATTACAACTTCATTCTAATGATGTCTGTTCTTTTAGCAGAAGTAGTGAACTTAGGCTACTGGGTTGTTTGCAGTTCTCCTTCTGTCCCTTAATATCTTCATGAACTAACAACAAAAAAAAAATCAACTGGGGTCACAAGAGGTATGACAAACAATCTAGAAGTAAGTTGGTGAAGGTTAAAGGTAGATTCCACTCTTTTCCTTTTCCAGCACTAACTGCATCAATTTACTTTTTTTTTCTACCAAATTACCATAGATAATGCTTTTAAGGTTTCATATATAAAAACCTGCATCAGTTGGATGTGTTTTGATAAGACTCTTTCTTAACTCGATGTCTGATCAGTATATATCAGCTCTCTTTTTTTTCCTTGCGGTTAATACAATTTTGGCTCAAAATAAGAATAAGATAACGAGGGCCAAATGTGCATATTTAAAGTTCCATGGAGTTTATGTGGCTAATCTGACAGTTAATCACATACACTTTAATAAGTCATATTTTTATGAAGCAGTGGAACTGTTCGGTATCTAAGGGATAACTTAAGTGAATTGTCAGAATTTCTAGTATTTTCTGCTATTCTGTAGACATTGTTTTTCAAAGCATCTTGACAAAATAACAACACTTCCAAGAATGAGAAATCTGAACAAACTTTATGAAGAGAGTGGGAGGAAAAAAATCCTCATGTTAAATCCATATCCTAAACCACACTGAATGTGGTGACGTCCTAGAACTGCAATCTTACCAAATGCCCTTCTGGCCACCTCACCCACCTTGCGCACCTTTCCATTGTCCTTGAACCAGCAAAAGGATGCTGCAAACAAATCCAAAGATGGCAACAGTACAGCTACGTAGAACAGTACCTTTTGACTTGTGGATAAAAAGTGTGTCCACTCTTTCCGGGTAAGCTGATATCTAAACTTCCAAGCATTATGTTTTGCAGTCTTTCTCCGGCTTGCCCAAGTACTACAGCACATGTAAAAACAACAGAATAAGTGTCACTGAGAGCATACTCACTATACAATTACTCATGATACATGAGTATACCATAACAAAATGTGCCTTTTCACTGGTTTTGCCAGAAATAGAATTGTCTATGCTGTACATAAGCTCATTCTACTTGGGGACTTTAGCACTTCGACTCCCAACAGTTAAACATCCTAATGTTGAAAAAAACTCTTCCATTTCCTTCTGCAGGAGGTGATTCCTCTTCTCAGCATCTTCACGAGCACGTTCAGAATTCCGCAGCTTTATCTCCAGCATCGTGTATTTCTTTCGTTCTTGGTCCAGTTCTTCTTCTAGCCTAACCACTTGCTTCCTCAGGTCTGAACTTGTTTCTTCAATTCTTAAAACCAAAGGGGAGAAAGAGGGAAAAGAAAAAAAAAAAAAAAAAAAAAGCTTTTTAAGTGTCTTGATAAATACTGCTAATAGCTATAATAAATATAAGCCATTCAGCTTAGAGCTAAAATATCTTCATTCTAAAAGGAAGTTTTAAATAAGGGCACTAACTGCCATTTCATAGTCACTTAATGTTGAGTTTCTTGAAAGCTGGAGCTTACTTCATTCGTATCTTGAGAAAATAAGCTCAAGTACATCAAGTCTTACAAAATGCTTAAGTTTTTTGTGAACAGACTGAATGGCTGAGGCAACTCAACTCCTGAATCAGGTTGAGTTCAAATACATAATTTGCAATATAAACGTCTACTGTCTGTTTTTATCCTGATACTGTGTTTCCCCATAAGGGTATCCAGTACAGGGGAACATCCTTGAAGTCAGTTAGGAATGAGGTCACAGTCCTTCCTTGCCATCCATTTATGGTATTTCCTGTACATTCCATTACTGACAACGGAAGGGGTGAGTAAAAGTTTTTTACACTTTACAATTTTTTACAGAAAATAACATTTTATATGTGGAAGACACTGAAGAACAGACCTGAAATAGTTCATCTGTGCACAAAGCTCTAATGCAAGACTCAGAGCTTTTCTCTAAGGAAGTCAAAGAATAAGGTTCATGTTTTTGGATTTGAAACAAGCGCAGAAGGGACATCACTTGCTGTCCTCCCAATCTTGTTTCCTAACCGCAAGACAGAGCAGTGATATTAATACAGAAGTAATATGTCCAGATGGAAATTTCTGATCATTAGAACAACCAGATTGTGATTTTAAAAGCAGGTTCTTCCTAGGAAAAGTGTGGCCCTGAACTTTAAAAAAAATAAAAACTAGATGACACATAATTTCAGTAAACAGTAATAATACCCAACTGTAAAAATGGAGTGCTTGGCTTCCCTCTGAAATGGTGAATGGGATATTTTTACACAGGCTAAATGACACTCAAAAAGGACATGCTACAGTCCCTACAACATCAAAAAAAGAACTAGACCTAATTCAGAAGAACCTGAATTACATTCTGTGTCCACCAAGCAGCAATTATTCAGATAATGCAATGCAATGCATCCCCTTAAACTGTTCCTTCACATACAGCCAAGGATGGTATCATCATCATCACAACTTAAAAAGTCACACACTTCAACACTGATCACCAAGTGCAGCAGATGAACAGCTGCACTCATAGGTGAACAGAAATGTGCAGAACATCTGGAAAGAATTGCCTGTCTTGGCAGACTTTCATCACCCAGCTAAACTCTTCTGAAGCTAAGATGCAGCACTCCCTACTCCTTCTTACAACATTTTGTTATATCCTACAGATCTGAACTACCTAGTAAACGTTTGTACGGTGAAGTTTTAGGAGTCAGCTACAGCAGCCTAGACTAACTGTCCATGTTCTGAATTACACATGTTCACAGTACTTACTTACAGAGTTTCTACATATACAATATAATAGTCCAATAGTCTGCTCCAAGATACTTCCAGTTTCTTAAGAGTCCCAGGTTGTAAACATGAATTACTGAAACTCAACAGAAAATGCCTGTTAATTATACTAACCTCGAGGGAGAAATGCTCTGGAACAGACTGGTTACAGGAAGGCCATAAAACTTGCCTCCCTCTGACTAAGAGAGAGAAAATGGGCAGTTGATAATGATAAATAGCAGCTTTTCCATCAGCAAGTGTTCCTTACCTCTGCCCCAGGCAGGTACCGACGTTGCTTTCCCTCCACTTACTTATGTATGTGCCAACAAAAAGCTCACACACCTTCATTAAAACATGCCCTGCTACACAGACTGAGTTCTGCAAACCACACAAGCACTTATACAATTGTAAAGGAATTAATTATTACTTTTGGGGACTAAGTTATCTTCAATAAAATAAAGCTAGTGAGAGCCCAAAATTTTACTGTTAAACTGCTTCATTTCTTTACTCTAGTTAGCTCCCCTCTTTTCACAGGAGCAGACTTTTATATGCAGTCTCAAAAGGGACATATCTTTGCACATGTAAATTGCTGCAGCTGCAGTAAAAACATTGCAAGATTTTTGAGAGCTAAAAAACTTGGCTTGAAATTCCTAGACTTGTCTGCAAAATGCTTAAGGCTGTAATCCTGAACAGCTGGAATCATCCTGTTTAATACAAAAAGGCAGCGATTGCATCTCATCTGGTTTTATGAAAATACTAGCTCATTAGGCATTTTCCTCTCAGCTACTTTGCCCTATGAGACCTGGCCAATTTATAGTCCTCCCCTCCAGTTATGCTGTTTGGTGCTCTTTGTCCCTTTCCCACTGACGGGGAAAGGCAGGTGTTAGAGCTGAAATAGCCAAGAACATGGCAGGAATGACAAACAGGGCTTCCTGACATCCCTGACAGCTGAAGGCCATTGGAACAGTGCTATCAATACGAGCTAGGAAGCCATCTCTTCCCTCACGCAGCAGGTAAGATGCCCAGCTACACATTTCCAAGTTTTGCAGCCCAATCTCACTTCTATTACTCTGTATCCCTGCAACAAGGCTTGCTGGGGCAGTCCTGCACAATTAAATACAAGGCACATAGCATCCTCACTACCATTCTCACTCACAGACCTTTTCCAACACACCATACTCGCAACCAGTGGTGATCTCGCCAGCTCTTTAGGCCAGGACACAACAAGGCAGGGAAAGCTTTTCTCCCGTTCTGATGCTGTAACTGAACTGCTACGCAGCCTGCTGGTCCTTCCAGCTTCACACAGCAAGGCAACACAAGGTAGGAGGCAGAAAAGGTGCAGAGGCTGGCAAGCCACCACCACAGTACATTTTAAAATATAGCAGGAAGGTAACAAGTAAAAGTCCTACCTTAACAGCTGGCCCACTGGTAGAGATCACAGATCAGACTAGAGCTTTCCAAAACACCTTTTGAGAAATTACTTTAACAAGAAAAAAGATGCAACAAGCTTAGCTTCAAGCTGTACTATAAACAGTCATGTACTTTTGGTACCATGTTTAGGAGACCTGTACATGGTATCAGAGTTTTAATAATTTAGGGAGTATAACACTAACACCTTAACACAAAAAAATGCTGAGAAGAAATAAATTTCTAAGAAATGGGACTACAGCCTTTCTCTAATGCAACACACTAGTACTGGTATGCAATTTTGCATATGTCTGTACATTATAACATACAATTCTTTTAAACAACCATACTTACTTCATGTGCATTTTTCCCTAAGTACTTGTCTGAAAGTAATTCTATTAAGCACTTAAACTCATAGAAACTAATATACCAACTCAGACAAATTAATAAATATGACTCTTCCTATTTATTCATAGTATTTTCTACTTCTTACAGCCTCTACCCTCACACACACCTCTCCTGAAAACCTGAAAAACATCAGAGGGGGCAAAGAACCACGCAGTTCAGCACTCTGCTGTACAAGCAGCACCTTGCTGCTACTTTGAGTCAGCGGCGTGCTATATGAGCAAATGACTGGTATAAGTACATCTAGAAATGTTGCTTTTGATTTTAGAAGCTCAACACAAAATGGCTGCTGAAAAGTTATAACTGAGATGCAATAACAACAAAAACAACAGAGAATAGTCAAAATCCATTTCCTGAACAAAGTTTCTCCTGGGAAAAGCAGCAAAAAACCTTCAATTTCTGACTGATTTGACACAAGTCTCAGCACATGCACAGACCAACAGAATTCCCTGTAGAGGCCTGGCCACGCTAGGTCCCATTCCCCCCCACAAGACAGATGTTTGCCTACCTGTTTCTCCCCAGACACTGACAAAAAGCAGACTTTGGGTTTACCTGTGTTGTTCCAATTTCCACTAAAAACAGCATGAGCAATACTGGAATCTCCTGTGTACTGGAAATCCTGTTTTTTGATCCTCTATTTTGTCAGAGATAAAAGTTGTACTCACGGAACAGTGAGGAAAGACCAGATCCATATTTGTAGTCTCCCAAAGCCAAGCTCCAGGTCTGAGAACCCGATACACTTGGTAGCCCACACCCACAATCAAACAGGGGTAAGGATGTTAAAAGAGTTCTGTATCCCCCCTCCCCATCCCCACCAACATTACCTTTTGATACTGGTCTCATACTCAGTCCTCTGTTTGCTCAGTTCTGTCTTTAGCTCCACCACCAAGCTCTGTAAGGCTCTAGAACATTTGACAGAGTCTCTGGAAGCTGCAGCTGGGTTACTGTGTTCACTGCTGCTGCTGCAAACATCAAACCTGTCGATGCTGTTCTCCAGATCTGCAGTCTTGACCTCACTCTGAGACAGCGAGCCCTGAGTCATCCACTCAGTCTGGAGAGAGCTTAAAGCTGAAGAGTCACTGGCCCGACAGGCTGGGCAGCTGCTGACCGAGTCCACCACGGAGATCTCACACGATGATGTCGACCACGTGGTGCTGGCCATGCTGTGTGTGCTGAGGGAGAGGCTGGACGAAGGGACATTGTCGTAAGTAGAGAGTCTTTGGGAAGAACACGAGTCTTTCATTCGTTCCCCAGAGGCTGTCCGGCGGTGGCCTCGGAGCGAGTACAGTCCGTTCATCAGCCAGTTCCCACTGGAGGAAAGGTTGGGGATATCTAAGGATGAGCTGCCCAGCTTTGGACTCACAGACCGTGCTCCTGGCTGGCGGAAAGAGTATTTCCAGGGAGGCAGCGTCTGCACTCTTTTGCTGGGGCTGGTGGCAGGCTGAGTCAATTTGCTGCTGCGCTCTGGAGAGGTGTTATTCACCACGGGTCCAGGGGTGGCCTCTGGTGCCACAGCATTGCCGGAGGGCGAATCGGCAGGGCTGGGAACGCAGCTTTCTGACCTGTCCTCCCCATCCTCCTCGGATATCCACTCCACGGTGTTGCGTGGACGCATGGGTCTGATTTCCAGCTGGCTCCCTGGCACATCTGCCTGGGGAACAGCAAAGATTCGGCCCTGTTCACTTATCAGCACCGTCATCAGGTGCTGCACCAGGGAGGTTCCTGTGGGGAGGAAACAAAGGCAAAAATTCCATGAGATGTGGCAGACCTGAGGCGCTCACTCCCTGTCTGTGAGATGCTGTGTGAACTCCTCACGAGGCTGGCACGTGCAAGTGTTAAGTCCAGCTCCTGAATGCAGCCAACTAATGTACTATAAGTGACCAGTAGCAATGATTAATAAACAGGTTTGTTTAAGGACACCCATAAGGAAGCAGAGGAGGACGGCGCCTGGAGAACAGGGCATGTCTGTACCACACCATGGCATGGGCTTCAGACACAGCACCGATTTCAGCACATGGATCCACACAGGACAGCACAGCTCTGCAGAGATGCATGCTGGATCCTGAACACACTGATGTGGTAGTTGGGATAGAGCACCTTTCTGTCCGGATTCCAAAACTAGCAGGTTTCCACTGATAGATACCCAAGGGGTATCTACATTGGACCTACATTCACAGTCTAAATAGGCCCAGAGCTAACGTTCACTAAAGCACCAGAAATTTCAGCCTAGGCCTTCTGCTGCACTCCTGCTGTATAGGGAAACCTGGAGAGAGAATGAGACCTGTATGGCACACGTAGCTGCACGCAAGGGGGAAAAGATATGTTTTGTACCATCACTATCTGCAGACTGGTGTTCACCTCCAATCCTAGTAAAGCATTCAGCAATTTGAAATGAAACCGTACTCATGAGGAAACGTTGAAATACAAGATGGAAGGAAATTAGACTTCAAGTACCCATTGAAGAGTGCCTGTAAAGGCAGCTTCTCAGACATCTGCTGGGAAAGAACAGCAGAGCCCAGCAGGTTTATGGAACGCTCTGATGACATCTTTACTGATATAGAAAATGAAAACAACAAGGAAAGAGGTTCTGCTAGGTTTCTAATCAATAAAGATCAAAAGGAAACATTAAATTTTAAGGTAGATGATAAATTTAGGTCACAGCCTAAAGCAACCAAGTGTAGATTCTTTAAGATAGGATAGCAAAACCAAAAATGTGTTGCAGGAACATAGGTATGAGGAAACCTTGAAAACTGGAACATAAGGTGCCATAGGGAGCTAGTCGACTGGAACAAAGTTTCCTGAAAGAGGCATGGGTGCAGCTACCTCACTGCAGACAACAGCTAGCAGATTCTCAAGGTGACTGACTTGATTAAAAGAGGAGCTTCTCATTGTATTCAAACATTAAAAAAGTAGAAAGTTTACAGCAAGTGCAGAAAGAGTACTTGTAACTATATAAATCCACAGAAATGAGTTGTCACTGCTTTTCAATACTGTAGGCCATTACAGACTAACAGAGAATATCTCTTACCAAACCTAATACGAAGTATTTTCTACTAAAGCGAAAAACCTTAAAGAGAGCAAATATATCATCATTCTATGTTTACTTATAATCTGAACTAAAGAATAAGACTAACATTCAGAGGTCTATAATAAGGACATGAACACAATAATGAAATCTCAGCCTGGCAGCAAGAGGTATAAGCTCACCTACTGCTTGCATTTAATGTCTGTGGATACGCAAGAGAATACACCTCTCTGGAGATAAGGTCATGCTTAACAATGTAGCTGTCAAACTTCAGATATTTCTATTTGAAATTCATGGTTTAAGTTTGGAGAGATGCAATTAAAGTGCTTTTTGTTAAGAACTTGCAGCAGTCTTTCTTTGTATTTATTATTCCTATTACTGTGAAGCTAAAGAAATTTTATTAGGTGTCTTTCCATTCCTCCATTATTCCTATTTAACCAATCTTCTACCCTCTGCTCACATTAAAGCAAAACATTCCCAGTGCTGTTACATTTGCTTTTACTGGTTAAATCTAAAAATCCAGCCACTGGATCCCAATTTGGTCAGGCCACCCCTACTGTCTTTATGAGGACTGGGAGAGGCCATGGGGCCACAGCATCTGTGACATCTGTGCACCTACAGACAGAACAAGCACCTTTGCCATCAGCTGAACCATATAATGAAATGCCTTGGGTGAGCTGCCAAGCCCTCCATCTGTACTAGCGGAACAGAAGAATGCTGCTGGCCAAGGCTCCAAGAGTTTTGCCCACCACCAGCCAACCGGCCACAAGGGGCAGTCCGCATCATGCAGTGGAGGAGGGGTCCTGCTGTGCCCACCTTTATACCCCTGAATAGCACAGCATCTGCTCCTGCACTACCGTTTTGTCTCCCTCACATTTTGCTAAGGCACTGCTGCTGCTGCACAGGCACGGTCATACCAGTGCTGTGAAGGATTTCCACCACACCGAACACGACGGGAGCTGCCCCCTACAGCTTGCAAGCAGTGCCAGGGCTGATTTGAGGCATGTGGGCACAGCATCCCCCATCTGTGCCTATTGCCGGATGAATCCATCAATTCTTTCTACAGGCTTGCAAGGATCCGACAGAACTTGCTGCAGAGGCCCTGCCAAAGCTCACAAGCTGTGCTCCACTGCACATGGGAGAGGCTGTGCCCCAGCCCTAGTGTAAGCCAACCAGAGACCTGCCCTGGGTATTTGCTGACCCCTATGGAGGTAGATAATTTTCAAACTTCAGATTTTTACATATTAATCAGAAGAAAGGAGAATTAATACCTGCAACCAAGACCTAATTGTCTGGTGCAGTGACGTTCAGCAGAGTCTCAAGCTAGGGCAGTGCACAAATAACTACAGACTATGAGATTTTATTTTTTTTTCAGTCCTAATTTTTTTTATAAAAAAAAAAACAGTATTGTTTCATCCCATCATTTCACTTCCTCTTCCTCTAGAGCCCAGCTATTCCTGCAGTCTAGCACAAGAAAGATGCAATGACCAAGCAATTGCAGCAAAACCTGATGTCGACAGTCTGTTTTTCTACCTTATCTGAACCCTAAACAAATAAAAGCTGTCACCTCAAAAGAACAAACTTTACAGCAAATATACCCACAGCAACTCCGTAATTAGTCAGGGCCTAGTAACATACTTTTGTTCCAGGCTTGGTTTTCAGTTTTTTCCTTTTAAACTCAGGAAATCAATATACATGCAAACATCTGAGATACGACTGGAGTATTTTGTATTTTCTAGCACAATGTAAAAACATCAGAATTTACCAGTGATTTTTCACTTATTCCTTGGGTTCTGTGAAGATCTGACCCATACGCAGTCTGCTTGGAAGACGACACTTCTAAGACACCTACCTGTAGCCCCTGTAGCACAGTAAGAACTGCAGTACCTCCTTCATTGTGCACTGGGCGTCCCTTGCAGGGAGCTAAATGCACCAGAATGCACCAATGCTAAACTACATTAGTCTGGTACTTAACATGGTCCTTCTGAAGAATATTTGACCTTTCACTTTAGCAGTAGGTTCCACACAACAACTTGCAACAGGGCAGAGGCATCTCCATGTAGTGGAGAAGAGAGACACTCCCACACCAGTGGCAAGTGGGATAGCAGCAGCCACACTGGTACATCCACTCACGGGCACCAATAAAAGGGATCGCTTGACTTGTTGACTGTGCAACAGTCAACAAGTGACACAACTACCAACGGCTGTATGACTTTCAGCATATTCCTGCAGCCCCAAAACACAGATGCTGTGTTACCTCAACAACAGGAGTACCTACCTTCCATCATGGTCACGGGATCTTCCATTTTGGGTCGTAATATATTTGGTCCAAATACTGTAGCCAGGTTCTGGACACTCATCTTGTTAATGCTGGAGTGAGCCTGAACTTCATCAAGGAACCTTGAAAAGCCCCCCCAGAAAAATCATAGGAGGAGAGGAATATAAAGTAAGTCACTTCTCATACTTGTAGACATTCTGGGGCAGGAACAGTTTTGTCCCATGCTTACACAACCCGAGCATCTAAAATGCTCCTATGGACTAACCGCAGCTCAGATACTCAATAACAATCCCCAGGTTCCTTGTTTGAGTGAGGCACAACAGGATGGTTTCTGCCAAAGGCACTTCTGGGTATGAAAATACAGGTGTTCATATTTTTATGGGAATTTTCCAGTTATACAGAGTGGTTTCTGTCAGCTTTTACCTACAGATGTAATAGAAGTAAAAAGATATTTTACTTCTCTCCTCATCCTAGAACGTCCTAGAACTTGTGGGCAGAGCTTCATTTCTTGAATCTGACAAAATACAGATAAAGAGCTTCCTGTGACTGCATCAGCTGGGCAAACATCAACACGTTAAACAGACTTTGTGCAAGCCAAAGATAGCACATGAAGAAATGCTGACAGACTGGCTATCCATATGTATAAGCTGGAAATCAGCAGAATGTTTCTAACAGTTAATTTTGTAATTTGGAACAGCCTTCCAACAGGAACTATAGCAGGCTGTAACAAACACCGAAATAGCCTGTAATTAGCCTAGTTATGAAAAGGACCATAGGACATGAAACCGCATAAGAGCTGGAAACACGTCTTGGTGGCCTCAGAGGTGAACACTCTTGCTCGACCTATACTCTGTCTTGCTCATTTTGGGGTGATTAGAGGGGTTTTGGTAGTCAAAATGTTTCCTCATTATTCTGTACTGCTCGGTTGGCAAATTTTTGAATGCTTCTGCTTGCAGTCTGACTTTTGTAGGAACTCCCATTTTTTATGCGGCTTCCACTGTGCTGAGGCCCAAGAACTCTCAGTTCTCTTCTGTAAGCCAGAAGCAAAATCTACTTGCCTTTCCTTTCCTCGGTTCTTCACTTAGAAACATATATGATTATATTCCCCTGTCTCAGACATTTGCTGTGCAGTGCTCAGATACTAACACAAATGACTACAGAAGCACGTCACAAGGCACAATTAATTTTTCAAAGCATTCAAAAGCACATTTCAGAATCCATACCCTTAGGAAAGGCTTGATATCTCCTGAATAAAGCATGGGCTTCATGTTTCATGTCAGTGTTTGTGTCTATTCCCTGCTGCAGATGTGTAAATCTCACTGATGATAAAAAAGATTTTGAGTCTACTGCAGAGATCACAATACAACGTGAAGTTCGTTACGTTGTATGTGAGCTAACAGTCCATTCCAGCTCCCCAACCATTCCATCCCACTTGAAACTGGCAGAGTCAGCAGAGAAACTAGGGGAGACAAGGCTGTGGAGTCCCTGTACTCCAAGCCACTCTCATCCCCACTTCCAAATCAGAGCTGAGGTCAGACTGGCGATACCATCTGCTACTCAGATTGTGTTATAAGTACTCCAAATGTGCAGTGCCTGGAACTACTGCCTGTCTTTATTGGTCTTTAAGTGCTTCTGAAACAGACAATACAACGTATTTGCATCATTGATGCCTGCTGCCCGGGTTGTGGGTGACAGCCACATGTTTTATAGGAGCTGTAAGTTATGTGTAAGTGGTGTTTGAATATTCGAACTTTCAGAGTAAATTATTTATATCTGTGATTGAGCCTCACAATACTTAGTGACTTTTCCAAGTGTTAATTCATTTCACTTACTTGCATATGTATTTCAGGAGGTTGTAGTTAGCTTGGGGCAAATTCTTCACCTGTTTAACCAGTTCCTGGGTACCCTGAGGGACAGGAAAAACAAGAAAGGAGACGTATTGATATAAATAATGCAAAGCAGATGTGACTCTTTCAGTGCTACAAAGTCCTCTTTCTAGAGTCAAAACCATGAGCATGATAGCACAATGAGGCTTTTGTTTTTGTTTTTTAAAGAAGGTATCATCCACTTTGTTGTTCCTTACCTCTCAGGTGGGAGCACAAGTCCCACTCCCAAGTTTAACGACCCCAGACACATAATGGCTGTGAGCACAAGAGACCTGGCTCAGTTTTGCTTCCCGCCAAGCTCCTGCTTGCCTTGATACAGGGGCAGTACTTGACCCTGCTTCAGAAAGTTGTCCCAGGTCTGGTGCAGAAGACTGATGCAGAAACTCTCTGACAGGATCAAAACCCTGTTACTTGCGCTTCTAAAGCTTGCAAATACCAAATATGCCACAGAATTATTTGATGGCATTACAAAGGTCATTTGACCCAACTCCCCCACCCTCCCTATCTACTGTACGGCTGCACAACCTCTGCCAGCCTGAAAGAGGTACCAGTATGTCCCTTGGTTCAGAGATGGAAAACCAAGGCAAGGGATACATAAGGAATCCTTGCAAATGACAGATCTACCTGGAAGAGAACCAGAAGTCATCCAGACCGATTTCTCTGTCCTAGCATACACAGGTGCTCTTGAACAAATAGCATTGTGAAGATTTATTGCCTTCCTGTAAGCAGAGGCTGAGGTGTGAGAATGATTCATTGCTTTGATGGGATTAGAACCGGTGGTCCCCGCAAGAGAGATCCACTACATACAGTATCCAAACACTAGAGTGCCAAGACAGCTCTATATAGGAGACATCTCTATATAGGAGTGCTGTTGGCACAAAGAGCAGCAGAAATTATCCCAGAGATACATTACCGCCAGGATCTTTTCCCAGCCTGAATGTTAGCTGGATTTTATTTTTTTTTTAATTCCAGAAGACAGGGAAAAATAACTAAATAAATAAAGTAGCTGGGCTGTCTAGAACAAAAGGAAAACCACCCACTCTGCAAACCACTAAGTCAGCATGCTTATTCTCCAATTCCCTAAACACCAAAAATAAAAAATAAAAAATAAAAACACTTTTGGGCAAAAGAAAAGGGCTGCAGAATTCTTGAAGTTGTATCACAGATTGAAACACTGAAGCCCCAACAGCCAGGACTTGACTCAGTTCTCCAAATCAGTGCAAATCCTCTTGTCACTTTAACGGTTAATGTAAAAACCTTCAGCTAGGGAAGACTGCTTATCTTCAAAGTCTGCTAACAGGTACTGGTATAAAGGTACTGGCAAATATGCCTTTTCTGTACCCTGCCTATCTGAAACTTTGAGGCACTGAGTATGCTATAAACAGATTGCAGTAATGCTGAACTGAGCAGAAGATAAATTTTCGTTAAAAAGCTAACAACATTCCAATTCGACTACCTCCTTTTTAATTACTTACTTCTATTTGCAGTCATTCTGAGCTGTGACACACTTCCTCATAAACTTTCTGTCTTTCCATTAAAATGTAAGATGAGAGATCTTCTTCAGAAATGGCTTAGAACCCTGAAGCTACTTAAAGCATATAATGAAAATCTCTGACTCAGAAGGTATTGTCCTGCCGCAGTCCCACCATCATTTACTGGTTCCTTTCAATGCAGTTACCCTGGAGGCTTGCTTACTTTTTGAGACAGCTAAACTTCCTGTGTGAAGATCGATATCCAAACACATTTGTGAAGAGTGATAGCTGTTAGCTAATGAGAGAAGACTGCTAAATAATGATGGAGAAATTTCAGAAGCAGTTGGTTCAAAGCCAGAGAAGTGTCTATGGGCCACTTTCATTTCAAACCTTCCTCTATTTTTTTAGGGAATGTCAGGGAAGGGATTCTATTGGCCTGAATATCCTTCAACTAATAAAAACTTGAAACTGAACAAAAAAAAAAAAAGACAAAAAAAATTCTTAGAAGTGGTAAGTCCTTTTAAATTTCTCAGGTTAAAAATCATGCCAGTTTAGCAGAGACAACAATGGGGACACTAATAAAAGACCGGTCACTTTTGAAAATCTCAAATCCCCTTTCTTAAACTTCTGAAAACATTTGAATCAAGGGAAGCTGCTATTGATGTGAAGGTTAAGGTCAGTTTTTCAGATCATCCAGCTTTCAAGTGAGGAGTTTGAACTAGATACAGTTGAGTTAACAAACCTCTCTCTTGACTTTTGCTCTGTAACCCAGTTTATTTCAAATACAGAAATCAGAATGACATTTGGCACTGTATTTCAAGTGCTCTGAATTAAAATATCGCAGCTTCTCTGGATGCGAGAAAGGACTTTGGAACAGAAATGTAGGCAGTTTTGAACAGCTGGAAACATGATCTAATGGTACAGGACCCTATCTGAAAGAAATAATAGTTATAAAAATTTATTACCCATGCTCTGTCACAAGACATCACAACAATGGGATTACACAGAGAGGATCTTTAGATTCATCAAGGCACAAGCACTTTCCAGGTTCCAAAAAAATAGAAAAGCTCCCTCTCCTGATGCAGGCATCTCAGGAACTTAGCACTGCCCCAGGCCTGTATGCACCAGCCTCCTGACCAACAGATGCCAAAGGCTGAGCGCAGAAACACCACAGCACGAGTGTAAAGAAAAATGCAAGCTAAAAACTGCTGCAATGCTAACAACTAGCACAGCATGGGTCATGCTTTGGCTGCAGCTGAACAGATAACAGAGGCAGTATTTTGACATTCATCATTACGGCACTCTGCAATAACAGCTCTTACCTCCTTGAAAATGCTCCTCTATGTCTAGTTTACCACAGATGCATGCTTTCCAAGGAGCGGTCCTAAACCCAAGGATTTTGCAATGCATGATGTAACATTGCAAACTAACAGGGAGTTTCTAGTTGGGCTGAAAACTAACAACGCTTCTCATATTCCCCCACATTCAGTTCTCTCTTTAAAATCTCAAAGCTGTGTGCTCAGCCCACTGAACTGCTGCGTGCATCTCTAGAGTGAAGGCTAAAATACTGCCATGTCAAGTCAGTCGGACTCAAATTTGAGTTTTTAAAGATTTGAAGATCCTTCATTCATTCTTAAGTCCTTCCTCAAAACCACCTGGGATGTGAATCAGATCTTTTTTAATGCTGCAGCCCTGCTGAGATACCTGGAGGCCTCAACACAACTCAAGCACTCTTAAATTTGTTTGCATTCTGGCACCAGAGATCGGTTGGGTGCAGAACAAAGACAAACAGCAGTCAATGAAAAATAGAAGCTTGGGACAATGCTGGAGTACTTTTTGATGCAGATGGAAATTAGGCCAATCAAAGATCATAGTAATTCCTATCTATGCTCACAATGTAGCAGCATAGCAGCACGAAGTACCAGCTGTTTTATCTGAATTGCTATTTTGCTCTAAGTAATTCCATTTTTATTTTGGGGGTGGAGAGGCTTCAACTATACAAAATATTTGAGTCAAAATGTCTCATTTAAAACCTCCATATGGAAAATGAAAACAAAATATTACTTCAAATTCAAACAATAGTTTGCATTTTGTTTTTGTTGTTGGTGGTGTTGTTTTTCCCAAAATGAAATATTTGACTCTGAAATTCTCTGAATTTCAATGAAACCACATTTTTCAGCAGGGGGACTTTCCAGGTGGGAGGCGATTCAAGCCCTACAGGCTGGGGATGACTGCTCCACGTGCTCCTGAGCACGTACAGCCTCTCCACCCTTGGTGTGTGCACTCCACCTTCCTTTCCAAAAAAAGTAAACAGCCCTTGTTGAGGTTCCAGATTTTCCTGACCAAACAAATGGTTGTTTACAACAGCAGTTTAACAAAGCAACTTGTGCTATCAGCAGTACTGTATTTTGCAAGCTTTCACTTCAGCTCTCTAGTGCTCCTCATCTCCTTTCTAATCCAAAGAGAATAATGCACTACAAGCCATTTCAGTCTGGCCGTGCTCCCACAAAACCAACACAGTTGCTGCTTCCCAAACTGCTGCAGCCTGTGCAGGCAGAATCAGGCAAACTACACAGCTAATAAGCTGAGCAGTGATATACAATTATGTTTGCCTAACTTGGCACTGTCTCTGCTCTTGTGCAATAGTGCTTAATGGATCCAAAACTTCCCAGTATGCACACTCTACGACCAAAATGAAACCAGCTCTGCTGCCTTAGAAATGCTGCTGTTTCTGGTGAGATCAGCCATTCAGCTGTCTAGAGCACAGCACCCTGCAGAGATGACTGAGGTGCCTGTTAACAAGGCAGAACACGAGCAAATCTTGGAGCTAGCAGACACCTGTATCTATTAAGAAACACCCCCAGTGCACTGAGACTGAGGTGGGTGTGTCCAGGACACAAACATATATCCATGTGTGGCACTGCGCTCTGTCACGCACAGTTACTTGCTTTCTCGGAGGTGACTAGAGAACAGATTGTGCGAGTGCAGATAGTGGCAAACTCGCCTTTTGCCCATACAAAGCTGACGTTACCAGATACGCTGTATTTGATGCATGCAAACAATCTTATGGGCATCACCAAGGACTGGATTGCCCCAGAGCCATCTGCCACTTCAACTAAAGGTAAACCCCAGGCTCCCAGTAAAGAGCACTTTTTACAGTCCCCACCAGACAGAGATGTGAGCACGCCCTTGAGGCCACACACAGAAAAGGGACAGAACTGTGGGCTGTGACTTACAAGCCCTCAGGCCTTTGCTTCTTTAGGTGACAGAAGTAATAAGGCTTACAACTTTAAACCCCTGTTTAGAAGATGGCACAGTTCCACCCACATTAGACCAGATCCAACGTGCCTCTGCAGTCAGCAAAGAGCTCAGGCATCACCACACAGGGAGCAATATGGACGGAACAGATCAATCAGTCATATTGTAAATTATCCTGCTCCTCCCAAGCAGTGAATCAAAATTTCCATGATTGCCACAGACCTGGAGGTTTTTGTCAGCCCCTTCCCTTGCCTGGAAACTAAACAGAGGAACATCACAGGAAAATTCTGGCAAAGTATTCACACAGCATTTCTGCTGCTGTGGAATAGTATCACATTCTGCCCTTTTATAGCGTCCCTCCTTTAAGAAATTCAAAGACTGTCAGACTGATCAACATCTCATCCACCAACAACTTTGGGATGCAGAACATGCTGTTGCAATATATGGCACTGAAAACACAGAAAAAGGGAGCGACTTCATAAAGCTTGCTAATGAGTCAACAGCAAGGCTGGGAAAGGAACCCAGATCTCCTACCTCACATCTCTTACTAATTATGCTACAGAACAGCATTGTTCAGAAGAAAGAAGCACCAGGCTACAAGACTGACTTCAAAACAACTCCCGCTTCAAGCAGGACACTGTGATATTAATGCCCAGTTCATAGCTTCAGGAAAATTCAAGCAAAGTTTTTCAGAACTTCATCAATTTTAAATTAGGAGTGAAGAGTGATGAGAAGGAAGCTGTACTACACTGAGTCTTGGGAATGACCTTCAAGGTAGGAGGCAGATTAGAAGGACCACTGACCTCTCCCTCATCTTTTGAGAGTAGCTGTCCACAAGAAAGAAAGTCTTCATATTTGGCAAAGGGGATGACAGGCTCTGGCAGCTCTCGGAGGTAAAGCTTCAGGAGGGACGCCACAGTGTGAACATCCGTGTTGCTGCAATAGAGAAGAAGGAAGGAAATTTAGAAACCCATGCTACCCCAAAGCCTGACACCTTTTGGGGGGATGGATCAAGGTCCTTCTTAGGGACAAACTAGGCACACAAAAGGGAGTCATTCTGCCACATATCTGTATGAAGCAGGAGGCTCTACCTGGAAACTGGGAAAAAACCCTGTTCTGTCAAGATAAGATTGCGTCTCAGGCCATACAAGGAGCGGAAGGGATACTCCTGCAGTATTGCTTAGGGTAGGGTGGTGCTATGGTTCCTCAGCTCATGAGGATCAGGAAGGTAAGCAATACAGTTCAGGCAAGCACACAGTGAACACACAACAAAGACAATAGAGCTCTGCATCCTCATGCAATCAAACACCACCTCTGATCCTTTCACTGATCCCTCCTGCTTCATACTTTCGCCAGCTGGCACCCACCCACGCAATGGGCCAGGCTCCCAAGTGACTGGCCAAGCCTTCAGAAAAAAACAGACGATGCTATATTTCCCCAGGCTCTCTACTGCCACTTGGTGTGGCTGCACAGCTTCTGGATCACATCTCCTCCCCCAGGCTGGGCTACCTGGTACTACATAGCCCACCTGTTATGTTGGGATATCAGCTTTTCTTTTCTCTCCCACTCCAGGAGCTTCTTTTTCCTCTTCTATCATTCGCTTTAAGTTGGGGTTGACATATTAGATCCCATAATGAAGATGCACCTGTTTTCCCTTTCCATTTCCTACGCAGCTTGCGGTTTATTACAACACCTCACCCATCTGTACAGCTTTCTTAATCTTTGTAGATGACCTCCTCAAAAGGTTTTGGCCACTGGAAATCTAAATAGACCATGCCACAGGCTCCCCACAACCTGCCACTGCCCTGACATTCTTTAAAGGAATCTGGGAAAAAAACACATCAGGAAACAACAGAGCCTCAAATCCTCACCTCTATCTAAAGGCTCAGTATGTTTATAAACAGGTTTCTGAAATGTAATCAGCTCTGCCAAATACTTTGTCTTTTGCTACTGCAAAAGACAGGTAGCAGGGGCTCAGCAAGGCTCTGGGCTCCTTATGAACTACAAACTCTGCCCAGCAAGCAGGGCGGTAGTGAGGCTATCTGCATTCACTGTACGGAAAAGTAAATTGAGGAGACTCAATTTACATCCCTATGTACTGACTCTCAAACCTTCCTGGATCAAGCCCAAAAAGTAAGATTAAGTTTCTTATGCCTTGTTAACATGGAAGCCTAAACATCGCTGCTACCCAAAAATGACAGGAAGTGCCAACACATTGTTAGGACCACCTAGATGTTGTGATGAACAACTAGCAGTTTCTCAGCATACATTTGGAGAAACTATCCATCCTGTGTGATACAATGCGTTCACAGCCATCAAAGTTTAACATACCTCATCTACAAGGCGACTGTTCAGATCCTAGCCCACCAGAAATATCACAGCCCTATTTTCCATGAATTTTTATCTTACCACTGTCTCACTTTAGTTTCTAATTTATCTCGAACTCTAGCTGAAGTTGATTTTATGGTCAAGCTAGTTGTAAGGAGGTTTTTCACGCATGGATTCCTAAGTCTAAGAACTTATCTCTCAGGGCAGCTCCTCCACAGACAAAGTACACAGAGACTCACACCTCTACTCAATTCTTATCAGACCTCTGGATTTAATTTTCTTGAGTGACTCCATTCTTGTTATTTTACCGAAGCTTGCCAGTAATTTTGAAGCTGTTAGGAAGGTAGAGAGAAAGACAGGCAAGCATACTGGTATTAGAAACACGGATAAAATAAAACAGGAAAAATTACCAGAGGGAGCTGCCAGTAGTTTAGTATATACACATATTTGACCACTTGCTACTGATTTTGATGGCATTCCTATTCAACAACTCTATCATCTTTGAGAATACCAGAGTTTTACATAGTGGCTTTTACAAATGAGGTCAATTCCCTTATTCTTTTAGCATGAATTTTCAGGCATGGATGGTGAATATGACTATCCCTCATCAGCAGAGCCCAGACTACAGCCTCAGATCCACTGGCTGGAGCTTACTGTTTTACCACCAAGGTCATGTGAAATCCAGCCAAAATGTCAGTGACGTGGATGTGCAGTAGGTGCTTCCAAAACAGCATCTTGGCCTTTCATAAAAACCTGTATCTGCATCTAAAACTGGAAACCCAAGCCTTTTAAAATTAGTTATTTTAACTATCAGTCATCGCAGACCGCCACCGTGGGGCAGGCAGGCTCTAGCATTTGGAAGATGAAACAATGCTGAGCTCATTGCAGACACAAAAGACATCTAAAAGCACCGGCTGCAACTAGGAGAAAAAAAAAAAAAAAAAGGAAAAAAAAAAAAAAAACCACCAAAAGGATATTCCTTCACTGCTCCTGATTCAGATATAAGAATATAGATTTCATACTTGCAGAAAATATCTGCTGCCTACTTGTTCTAAGCCATAGATGGACAACTTCAGTTACACAGAAAATCATGCTTGCTAGGAGAAACATTTCACTTGGCCAGGAACTGGCTCTCCCTTGTCCCTGTCTGTGAGCATGCATGTCAATGATCAATGATCAGAAAGCTGGGCCTGCAAGTTGCAGTGGTCACAGGGGCTTCAAGAGGAAATCAGAGCAGAAATGCAGTGAGTGGGGGGACCCTCAACTGTCACAGTGCTCAGGTGCCACCATGTCTGCTCTGATTCAGTGCTGAACCTTGAGTTATTGGATTTCAGATCAACTACCCAAAAGGCAAGCATCCCTTCATGGAGAACTTCACTGCTTCCATTAAAGGCAAAACCTATCACTGATCTATTTTACCAATTCATTGTCCAACATTCTTTCAGCTTTAAAAATACTGGGGGGAGGCTCAGCTTACCTTCTTGACAATGATGTTAATATGGACTAGACTAAGGTAAGACATGAAAGCGAAACTACTGTTTCTAATTGCTTCTATCTGTAGATGTTCCTGTTCCAGAATGTGTTCCAAAACAACTCAGTTCACTTCCACATGAATTAAGACAATTCTAATTCTGAACCAGAACATCCAGATATTTAGTTTAAAAATCAAAGATTTTGTTTAAGAAAAGATGAAGTGAGACAATCTGGCAATTTCAAACTATCTTTTTCCGGAAAATATCTCTAAATATTTGACGCTTCCATTTAGGGAGCAAATATTAACTGTGGTTAAGAATCAAAGAAAGGAGGATGGGTGGCCTGGGAAGCTGAGGAAAGGGAAGAATTAGAAGAATGTTCACAATAAACTCAAAGGATATTCTTCCCAGGATGAGAGCAAGCACATTGCTGCCCATGTGGGAGAGTGCTAGTTCTTCCTGCAGCAAGTAGGTAGGGACAGTATGGGCAACATCAAGGCTGACTGCAGGTTCAGTGGGAAAATGATCCCCTGGGTTAACATGCTGGCAACATACTAGAGGCTGTCACTGTCACCTGGGAAATCCATCCTAGAGAGGTTCGGCAATAAATGAATCCTGGTCTCCAAGTAAAGATCCCAGATCTGATCCCACTCCTGGACCTGTAATAGAGATTGGGCCAGATCTGTGCAGTGGCCTTGGATCCCAATACCCCTGGAGTTCAAGGACTCTGCCAGGGTTGAGTCCATTTCTCAAAGGACTGTTCAGGTCAGCACACTGCTGACTATCTCATGCTGGGTAGCATGAGGATATAAGAGAGGGAAGGAAATGTTAGTTACAGAGGATGGACAGGATTTGGCTGCAAGGCGCTGAGAGCATCCACCCTCCTGATAATTTGACTACCTGGGCTCAGGGCCAAGGCAGAGATAGTGCAGCTGAGAGCTGCCCCCATTCCTTGCTAACCTTAGACAGAGCTGATGCTTCCCATGGGAGCCAACATTAAGCTGAACCTCTACTGTTTATCCTGTGTCTGAGCTACAGCTCCCGCTGCCTCTCACAGCCACGGCTGTGCCTGGCCACAGACCGTGTAGATCTGGATATGCACACTGACTCAAGGACAGATTTCCAAGCCTGGCCTTGGATCTGCCTTGTCATTACAGACTTGCCTGCTGATTACCAGTGTTCCTGAGCCTGGTTACTGTCACTGGGTCTGTCTTTCTCACCTGGCTCATGTACAGTGGGACTGGGCTCTGGGTGCCAAGGCCACTGCCTCTGCCAGCCTTGTCACTGCACTTGGCTCCCTGCTCACCTTCCCTTGCAGAGCAGCTGGCTCTCACCACTCCCTGACACTGGCATGGCCAGTAGGACCAAAAGGCAGCTAGTATTTCTCTGTACCACACAAGGAGTGATTACAGCAATGTATTTACAAGGGGAAGAAAAACATGAAATTGCCATTTTTATTTCAGAAACATTTGGCTCAAGTTTTATTGAAAATTCAAAACAGAACACAAATGTCCCTAAGTTATATTCAGTTTTGAAATGTTGCTGAAATTGCTTGACCAAAAAAATTCATTTTGGTCAAGAATTCTTCTGGTGTTGGAAAATAGTTTGCTATGACTTGCTGACCAACTCTATACATTTACACATGTATAGGGAAGATGTGTAAATGTTGGTGACTGTTCTGAAACCTGGTGACAAAGGAAAGGGAAGAGTTGAGATAGCACCCCCACACAGATCCAGGGTGGGGCAAGAGAGAATGCAACATCTGAAAGCAGTAAGGCACCTGGTTCACCACTGTCCTATGTATTTTTTTGGTGGGATCCCCATGGCTGCTGTCTAGTCTGCACCCAAATCCAGCAATGCATTTCAATATGTGCTTATGCTGAAACACTGGAGTAGCCCATCTTGACCGATGGGCTCAATTTATCCCCGTGCTGAACTGAAAGAAGGCCTCAACACACAACACCATGCTGGAGAAAGCCTCAGCAGCACTCTCAATGAAGAGAATGAAGGCATGGAAATAACATGTTCCTAGGATAGCCACTGCCAGGCTATTCCCGCCAAACCGCATGCCACAGGTAAACCAGCCTGAATTTGCTGATGTAAACTCACCTGTCAAAGAGGGGCTTCTCTCCACAGTCAAAAGAATCCTGCAGATCTTTGACAAGGTTGGCTTGGCCAGGCATCCGAAAGAGCCCCTCCTCTGTAAGACCTCGCTCCCGAATAAAATCCACACACTGTTCCACCAGCAGGGGGGCCAAGCGCTGGCCATACTTCCTCTCGTACTGTACGGTGTCCTCTAATCGCTGTCCAAAGATCCCTGCCAACAGAGAGCATGACAGACATTCAGGTGTTAGCTGAAGCTCTTTGTGAGCTATTGCTCAGGGCACACAATGAGGGAGACTGTTTCTTTCACGACTGCCCAGCCTCTGTAAGTGCCCATGAAACCCTTGAACAGTGCTGAGCACCACATACCAAGCAGTTTTGCTTTGCCCTGTCATGGCAGCAGGGATTACTTGATGTGATTACAAAGCAATCTGTGCAAAACTAGGAAGAAATTCCTTGTCCCAGAGTATAATTTCAGGGATACCCATCTCAGTGAAACTCACAAACAGATTAGAAACTAGAACTAGTAAAATCTTTACTTTGAAAGAAAACCCGTATTTACAATAATAAAGATAAGTCACTCCTATGCTTCAGGGCATGCTCTCCTGCCAGGAGAAGAAGGGAATTTCCTTTAAGACTCTTCATAGCCCTCCAGCTCTGATACTGTAATGCAGTTGTGTAGGCTGGAGTTTAAGAAAGGTTTCTCTGACTTCTGATATATAATAAACTGGCAAGGAATGGAAACTGTGCTTCAGGATCCTTCTTGCATGTTTCATTCCAGGAGATGAAACTGATGTCAGTGCAAGATTCGTTTCACTGAGGATTCAGCAGGGTTGGACTGAATACAGAATGCAGGTGTGGTTTGGTGTGACATCTGAATCCAGATCGTGGCTGAGAAAGCAAAATCTCCACGGCCTGTTCATCCTGGCCTCTCTGCAGAGGCTGCCCATGGGGAGACCCACCAGCAGCTCTCAGCACTGCGCATCACTGCACACACAGGAACAAGCCAGGTAACAGGAGTTGCCAGGTACTTTGCAGGCACCTCAGCTGTGAAAAACTGGGCAGGACCACGCATCCTGCCTAACCTCCTTCATGATATTTTGTTGGTGATTGTTTCTCCCCCTTCCTCAGAACTGAATGTTTGATCCTGGGCCACAGCACAATTCAACCAAGGTCCTTCAGCTTTAGTTACAGCAAGCTTAGATATGCACACCAAACCCATCTATTTTCTCAAAATAATACACGGTATTCGCTCTCCAAGATGGAAGATACATGGGTTTAGGGAAGTCAGGCTATGAATATTTCAGGACAATTAGAGGACAGCAGCCTTGTTTTCTCAAATCTCTCCTCCTTGTAGAATGACAGCCCTGAAACCCAAAGAGTCCACCTAGCGAAAGACAGGGAAAAAGGCAAATGCCCTGCACTCCCCCGGGTATAGAGCAGAACTCATGTTCTTCCAGAAGCCCACGTTCTGGTGTCCTACATTGACCCAGAGTAAGGACAGAGGCAGTGTCAGACACACACAGATGTGAACTCATACCCAGAACAACTGCATGCATCATCTCTACTTGCAGTGTGAAGCTTTGTTTGCTTTTCCTTAGCCTTGACTGGCCCAGGGCCGGCAACAAGCCCTCACAGTTAGGTCAGTTTTTGCTGAGGTGAAGAAAAGACCCTTAAGCCACTGCCAGGATGAAAGACTTCTCCCAGCCCAGCTCTCTTGGCTGCCTCCCACCTTGGTTTGGCAGCCCCATTCCAGCCCAACTTCAATTGCAGATATATGTTTTCTCTTTCCCTTAACCCTGAACCATAATTTTCCAGAGAAGCACTAAAAAAGGTCCCCAGGCGTTACCCAGACAAAGTATTTCTCCCAAGTCAAGTCTGTTGGTAACTCCAACTTTCCCTTTGCAGCCCCTGTCACACAGTTCTCCTTTTTTCCCTGTCCTAACCCTAATATTTTTGCTAAGCCATAGACAAGGACCCCCAGCCACTGTGCAGAAAAAAGATTGCTCCCAGGCCACATGTCTTGGCAGAAAGAATATTAGGGTTACGGTTTAGAGAGAGAAAGCACAGAGCTGCAGTTAGAGCAGGACTGGAAAAGGGCAGCCAAAAGCAAGCAGGGATGCTGGAAGAGCTGCCCTTGGAAAAACCATGCAGTGTCTGCATAGCTTTGTCTGTGGCTTAGAAGAGGAAATTAGTGCTAGGGTTAGGGTTCAGAGAAGGAGCAAGCTAAGAGCTATCTTTGGAGAAAGGCTGGGAAGGGACTATCAAAGGCATGTTGGAGCCGCAAGTCCTGGACTTGCAGAAATGTTTCTTCCAGGCATCTGCTGCAAGGCTTGACAAAGTGACCCTTCAGGAAAATTACCATGAGGGCTCTCCCAGCCACGCAGGCAGGAGACACACAGATTCACCTACTTCAGTCTCTCACAGCAAAATATGGCTGACTGAGGAGGTGGCATCCTGCTAGCTCTATAAAGCTCACCTCATTTCAGCTATGTTTCAGAAGGGTTTGTAAAACTGAGGAAGTTAAACGTCTCTGAAACCACCAGACAAGATGGCATTGCTGGTCTGGACAGGGACTGTCCTGCTTTGCAAGGAAAAGCTAATGTGGAGCCAGTCGCACACAGCCTCATCTGCTGGCTCCTTGAGGCACAGGCCTGGTTTCAATCACAGGGCCTGTAGCTCAGGCTGAACTTGGCAGCGTTTCACTCCATTTGATGATCCTGCTGGAAGACATTAAAGTCTTTCTCTTCATTCAGAAGAAGGGGAGCCAGTGCCATCCGGTCACATGCCTGGACAGGGGTAGGCTGGAAATAAAGCCAAAAGCTCCTAGCAACCCAAGGGTTAATTTTCCTTGTTGCACTCTTATCTACAGCTAGGCCTGTTTGTTTGGTTTGAGAGCAGAGAAAAAGAAAAAAAAAAAGAAAAAAAAAAAGAGTGAGCCTGGGACCACATCCTGAATCTCAGAAAGATTCAAGAGATACTAAAAAAATTGGCTAGCAGAGCTCCAGGATTTCTTTCCTCCACTCCAACAAGCTGTCTCTGTTCTTTAAAGATTTAGGTGGCTCTTTGTGGAAAAAGCGAGCCAGGAATGATGTACGAAGACACAGACAGGCTTTCTGTCCTGGCCTGAATAGCTCACCCACCAGCTCCAGGCATACAAAGCCTATACATTCAACTATGCTGTCTGGACATGCTGTGGGCAGGAAAATATATGCTCCCAGCTTCATTTTTCCTCATCAGAGCTCTGATTTCAACCAAAATAAACTAAAGACAGAGATAATAAAGTCAGCGCTTGAGTAGATTTTCTTTACAGAGAGGACTGAGGACACCATACGTGCTTAAAGAGGGAAAAGTCCAGACACACCTACATCAGCTGTATGTACAGGTTAGTACACACGTTAAAAGATGTGCAGGAAGATAATCAGCACACACCTGGATGCTGCTGTACAGCAGTATATACACCCGCGCGTGCATGCGGTGCCTCACAGACAGGCAGTTTATGGATGCAAAGGTTGTGTACGTGCTCACCTGCACAGGTAAGAGTCTGCTTTTACCTTCCCACATTCATGCTTAGGCTCCCATTTATCTGTCCCTCTCACACATGAAAGCACTGAGAAAAAAGTCATGGGCAGACATTCAGAAACGCATACGCTTTCATAGCACCAAGCACACACAAACTTGCAGCTCTCTCTTCCCCTTCCCTGGCCCACCCAAGCACACCCCATGAATGACTGCAGCAGCACAGAGAATCGAGGTCCTGGCTAGGAGCTGTGGAAGCCCCCAAATGCAGTCCCTGACAACCAAACAGCCCAGCCAGACAAAGCACGCAAAAATGGGGGAAAGAAAAGGAAGCGACAGATAATCAGGAATCAAACACAAATCTGAGTAACTAACTCACCCAAGGTCACACAAATGAGTCTGTGGCAGAACCCGGTGTCTTCTAACCCCATTCCCCACAAAGATCAGCCTCCACATACGGGGGCATGACTGCTCTCGTCCACCTATGTATTTATTTAAATATTCTGTGTAAAAACAAGCACAAACACACTTCCCCCGAAACATCTTCAATGATAGCTTGGCATTCAGTAGTATTTTTGGCCATAGGCTGGATCCTTCCCACTCCTTCCCCTTTATAAAGACAGCTGCTTTATTTAGATGTGTAGCCTCTGTCTGAGGCTAAGCTCAAATATCTGCTTTTCTTCTAGGAAAAGAAAACCATAACAAATCTAAACTCTGGAAAATCATCTCATACCTCTCGTTCTTGTGCAGCACTCTGCTACATGACAGGCGCTGAGCTTCAAGCAGAAACCAGGCAGTGTCAGACAGCAGGAGCGGCAGAGAAAGAAAGTCCTGACTTCAGGCATCAGACACATTCTGAGTCCCAGCACTGGCAGCTTTCCATTCACCCAGCGCTACAGAGCGGAGAGCAGCCGATCTGCCCTGGGAGATAATCTCAGCAGCACATCTGGTCTTAGCTCCACAACTCGTCATTAATTATGACTTGTGCAGAAAGCATTTGAAATATCCAATGAGATGCAGAGCTCCCCAGCTCCCTCCGCAAGGGGAAGGAGAGAGGAGAAAGACAGGCAGGTAGGGTCTTGCCCACCCTCGAAGCTGCCGCCAATATAAACAGCACCTAAGTATGGGTCACAAGTTTTAACAAAGGCATCCCCCATCGGCTCTGTAATATATTCATGCTCTAATTGCTTGTCAGATCTATTCTAGATAGCTGGAAAAGCTGAGCAACAGTTGCTGTCTGCATGCCACTCTCTGGATCCCTTCCTGACACAGGCAGCATTAGCTGTGCTGCAGGCAACCCAGTTCCCTGGTCTGGCCTTTGAGCTGCTTGCAAAGCACCAGAAGCAGTCTTGTAGTGGAGGGGCACAGCCCCCCCGCAGCCTCAGCAGGCTCTGAAGTTTTACATAGCTTAGGACGAGCCACAATCTTTGACCTAGTGCCGCTTTTTTTGTGCGTACAGCCTCTGCTTTAGCCCTTCACAGAGAAGTTGCCTCATGACAAACAGCTCAGCTGAGTAACTGGTAGGGGAAGGAACTTAAAGCTCTTTACATGTGAGCCACCCCCAGGACTTACCTGCAGGAAAATGCTCACCCCCTCAGGTCCTGCTCCAAGGTTAAGTGGCCTGCAGTTCAGAAAAATGCCTATCACACCGTGATAGTTGCAGTTACGCTGAGGTCAGCCCTCTATCCCATTTAC